ATGCAGCTCCTTTATGAGTTAATAGTAAACAAACTTGGCTTGTTGTCCTCAAAGGAGGCTCAATCCCTGAGCTTATGTGCAGAGGAAGAATAAGAGAAATATAGGAGGAGATGGGGAGGAGGTGCAGAGACCACTGCTTATATATGTTCATGATTGACAGGACTGAATGTTTAGCCTCCTCCTGAACCTTCTCTTGGTACTTCATTTCATTTTTAACAGTGATATTTTATCATTTAATGCAATTACATTCATATATTTTTAAGTGTGCGGCTTAAGCGTCTGCATACTTTGTTGTACAGTTACAATACACTATTCTTTCAAGCCCAAGGGTCATTACTCGTTTCTGTCCCAACCAGGGATGAAGTCTCCTCACAGAGTGTTGGACCCTGATGTTCTTGCTGTGGAGCAGGAGAACCAAAAGCTTGAGGAGGAAATCTTCAGAATCCAGCTGGCAAGGGAGAGGCACAAAGGAGAACACGGTACCTCTGTTCCTCACATGATAAAAAAAAATAAAGTGATGTGAAACTTTTCATAGAAAAGTGTTCTAATTTGTATGCTTATACTATAGACTAAAAGTATATAAATATTTGATATTGCTTGAATATTTTAAACATATCTGAATACTTAAATACATTATTTGAATATTTGATATTATATTGATCAGGGCTCATTGATACCCAGAAGGACCACATCCATCAAATGGCTAGCCTCCAAGCTGATATCTCCTTTCTAAAAAGAGAAATAGACAAGGGGCGAGACAGAAGACCACCCCATCCTATGTTACCTGGATCTTCTATGGCCCACTCACACTCTGCTCTGACACTGGTGGGCTGACAGTTAGCCAAAGCTTAATTCATTGTGTTACTTGTATGTTGAGTGAATGTGATATTTACGGATCCACAGAATTCTGTCTAATACTATTTTAATGGAATGTCTATAACCGATGAATGGCTGATATTAAAATTCTATATTGTATTAAATAAAGCTAAATAAGTAAATGAGCTGTTTTAAATGCTGTAAGTAAATTTAGGCATCACAACAGTAAATATAGACTGAAAAATGGATATTAATTTTGAAATTTGCTAAAGATTCCATTTAGCAATGCTATCAATATTAGTGTTTTTAAAGATTAAATTTAGGTGAGTGGTAGATGATGGCAGTATCCAATAATACAAATATTTAATATCAGTGGTACCAATATATTATTCATTCCTAATGATATGAAAACTTTCAAAAGTTTGGGGTCAGTAGATTTTTTTGTTTTGTTTTTGAAAGTTCTGTTATGCTTATTCACGACTGCATTTATTTGATCAAAAATACAGTAAAAACAGTGGAATTATCGTAATATTGTGAAACATTTTAACATATTAGTGTAATGTACTGTATATTACATGTAGTTATTTACATGTATATTATGTTATATGTGGTTTATTCTAGTGTCACATGCTCCTTTAGAAACCATTCAAATGAACTATTATAATCAATGTTTACATTTTTCTGACACCATAATTTTTTATCAATAGAAAGGTCAAAAGAATAGCACTTATTTAAAATTTTGAAACATTTTGTTTACTTTAATTTTGTTATTAATTTAATCATTGCTGAAGAATTATAAAATCTTACAGGCCCCAAACTTTTAAACTGTAGTGTGTGTATATTTTGTTTTTACCAATTTGCAGGATCAGAGTTCAAAACATCATTCATTGATGGGTTTCCATGCAACTGATCCGATGCAACATCTTGGTCCAGCTCCTTATGATCCTGTGTAAGACAAATTTTCTCTTGGGTTACTTTTCTTGTTCTTACTTAGTCCCTATAGATGAAAACATATAACACTAAATGCATTACAATTGTCTGAATGTGTTTAGGGCTGGCTTTGTGATCTTCTATGACCTGGTGATAGGTTTAGACGCTACTTTGACATCAGTGCGCTTGTTGGAAGGGTTATACTGTAATGGGGAGAAGTTGGGACAGACCACCCTGATGCCGCCTGTGCAGTGCCAACCATTACTCTCCACCAAGAGTCCTGGAAACTATGCCATACTGGCTGTTATACAGCCTGTGCCAAGGTAGTTTGGTTCAGACATAAATATGGACAGAGTGGATATACGTTTACATGAATGAATTTGTGCTTCATTTCAGAGTGCAACCATCTCCAAATCTCGCTTTGGTCTTGGAGATTCAGACTTCTAGAAGTCTCCAATTGTACAACTATGAAACTAAGGACTTGGTTACTTGTGGCTGGGCTAAACTTGAACTTTTTAATGAGCACAACCAGGTGCACAGCGGTCACTGGAGGCTTCCCTTCCGCTCTCTCCCAGTTCAAGCGTCCCTAAGTCCAGTTCAACTGAATTCTGTGTCACGAGTATGTTCACCAAATATTAAGAGATTGAGAGACTCATTAGACGTTAGAAGTTTTTAGTCTAGATTAAATGCCCATAAACCTCTAATTTAAATCAGGCTAAACAGTTTTTTGTTTTTGTTTTCTAAGCTGGGTAACATGGAACTCTGTCTTCGGGTTGCAAACGCTTGTCATGGAGATGTACAGACTCTTGCAAAGATTGACATCAACAACACCAACCAATACAAGTACCCATCAATGGTATGCAAAATGTTTGTCAAGATATTTCCTATCTTTTTAATAGCAAAGCTTACAAAGGTTTTAATGAGCCTATAGGCTAAAAGCAGTGGTGTCCAATTCTGCTCCTGGAGGGCCACTGTCCTGCAGAGTTTAGGTTCAACTCCAATTAAACACACCTGGACAGCCAATCAATGTCTTAGGCATACTAGAAACTTCCAGGCAAGTGTGTTGAGGCAATTTGGAATTAACCTCTGCAGGATAGTGGCCCTCCAGGACCGAGTTTGGGCCGACAGCTTAATAAATGTGTCTTGTTTAGGTGGTCTCAAACACATCTGCAACCCTGGCATCGCAAGAACCATCTCACACATTACAACCCTCAACCAATCCTTTACCTTCATCACTGCCACAGACAGATAATGTCGAGGAGTCCAATTATATTTGAATGACTTGAATTGATTACTGTACAAATAAAGTCTGCTGTAACTTCACACAAATTTGTATTTCAAATGACTATAAACAGATCACACATCTGTTATGAATTATTGCATTTTTTTTAATGACATTTCATTTACTTGTGTACATTTGTGGGTTTTGGCATCACACTGATCTAGAAACAATTATGCATACACAGGGGTTGGTTGGACAATGAAACTGAAACACCTGGTTTTAGACCACAATCATTTTTTTAGTATGGTGTTGGCTCTACAGCAATACAGCATCAATTTATCCAATACAGCATCAATTTATCTTGGGAATGACAGACAGTCCGTCACAGTGGCCAGAGGGATTTTGAGCCACTCTTCAGGTCATTATGGGATGCTTATGGAGAAAACACCCCAAAGTGGCTCAATAATATCAACATTTGGTGACTGTGCAGGCCATGGAAGAACCTCACTTTCATGTTCATCATACCTTTCTGGCACAAGTCTTGCTTGGAGTATTGGTGTATTATCATGCTCATTCACGGCATCCCCCTTTTAGGGTACAATGTTTGAACCACTATGTGCACATGGTCCTCCAGAATGGTTCTTGTCAGTGACGCGACCATCAAGGATAGAGGCGAATGCCATGATACTCCAGCCCAACAAGTAACCAAAGGATTGGCTATAGCAGCCCGGCTATGAATATCGACTCTGTTGAGCTCCCGATGAACAGGATTGGTGGAAATAGGGGAGTCAATGTGTGCATTTAATTCTGCAGTGAGTTGGGCAGCAGTGGTTTTGCTTTTTGGATAGAATCCAGGCTAGTACCTGGACACCCCTTTCAGACAGCTTCTTCTTGTGTTGAGTTACTACTGTTGGATGTGGTTCATCCTACTTGGGGGTATGCATACATTATCCTGGATACCATAATCTCAATACACCACAAAGATGTGCTGTCCTCGTCTCAGATGAGCCAGCGAGTCGTGCACCAACAATTTGCCTTCTTTTGAACTCTATATCTCCCATTATATTGTGTTGATTGCATTATTTTATTTACAGCTGTGCTAATTTAAACCTCCAACACTATATTGGTCAGTTTCATTGTCTAACCCCTGTAAGCAGGGTTTGAAATTAACACCAGTAAACCCACCAAATAAGGGTGAAAATCCTGTGGCAGATAATGCATGAACAGCAGTTCAAAATCATCAAACCACTTACATAGCCATTCATTAAAATGCAATGATTAAAGACAAAGACTTACATACTGACATCACCCTACAAGATTGAGTGTTTCTCAGTAACAGGCTTTTAGGACTTAATTATGCTTCATATAGAAATAAGGGATTGCACTTTTTTTTCTCTAAAAGACCTTAATTCAAACTCATTGACACTACTTTGTTCAGTCTTGAAGTGAACTTTTTCCTATTGAAATTCTTGAAGTTTCACTGTTTGACTGTTCCCTTCAACTTACAAGTGCAGAATGGCATGTCCACAGCCCGAGACCAGTTAGCCTAGACCAGTTTTAGCCACCAGAGCCCTACAGTATAGAAGACATTAAAAGGGCATTTTTTCCAACCCATACAAATGCATCATGTCCAAGAAACCCTAGCGTTTATATTGTACGTATGCATGCAAGTAAAGTTAATAAGTTAAGATAATTTAATTACTCTTTTGATTGGCATCCACTCAGTAAATGCAATTGAAAGTAAAAAATATTTCAGAATCCAAGATGTGACTGATTTGGTTTATTTTGGCTGGTATAAGTTCTGAATAGCTTAAATTAAGCTGGTGAAGGAAAGTTAATTGCAAACCCTTGTATGTGAAGACTAAAGTATTTATTTAAAAAAAAAAACATGAACACATCCTATACCTAATAATTTAACTATTGAGGAGTTTGTCCAATTAGTTGGTTCCATTGGAACTCTCGTTGCATTGAGCAGAACATTCTTTACAAAAGAAACAGGGGGAGGGGTGGAGATGGAGGAAGAGCCCACATGTTCACATATGCAAATATCCTTTATTGAAAGTTTACTACAATTATACAAAAATTGGACAAAGAAAACAGGTTATTTACAGAACAGACAAGTTGTTCATGAGTATGATGCAGGCATGCTCTGCTGGTTGGAAGGTAAGAGGTCAGAGGAAGTCCATCACGCTGAGGTCTCCACAGAGGAAGAATTGGCTGACTACAAGAGAGAGAGAGAAAAAAAAAGGCACTAAATTGATGTTGCTCAAACCCTAGACAATTCTCCAACCAACACATTAAATGCAAGATCAAGAATTGAACATCCTCAGACACAGGACTTCACTAGTATATGTACATATAAAGTAAATATGCACTCAGATGAGATCCTGAAGTTGTCTCTTTGATAAGATTACAACTCCATTTTAGACACTTCACAATTCCAATCTTGATACCACAGTAAAAATTAAGCCTAGCCAACCTAAAATAAATGCTCCCATTTTTAAAGCAATGACAATACAAAAAATAAAAATGAGATGCTTTAAAGTTTCCAGGTAGGTAGTAGTATACAGGTAAGAAAAAGACTACTACAGAAAATGTAAATCAGTGTACAAACACTGCAGTCTTCACTGTATTAGACCTACACAGACTCTTAATGCTACAGTAAGCAGTCAAGAGCAGAGCACAAGATGCAAAGGAAAACTTGCATTCGTTGTGCATGTGCACAGACAAACCATTACACTGACTAAAGAATAGATCATTCACGTCTTAAGTACAAATGGCTTAAACTCACTTAATATAAAAACTGACAAGGCTTAAGTGTTAAAATGATCAACTTTCGATGCAGCAGTGACCGTTTCTGTCCACTGTCCAGAGCATCTTTCACACTTATGGTCAAGCCCTGTGGCCCTATTAGAGGAAACAGCAAGCCTATCAACTCGCCTCCTGCTCCATTTTCTCCTGGACTCCATTGCCGTTGTGGGCGGAGTCATCACTGCCATTAACTGAGGTCTCCTGTTTTGTCTTTTTAGCATCACTGTCCTTTTTTGGACTCTCCTCGTCTGGTTTCCTCTGTGCAGGAACAAAGCAGGACAGAACACGTACTTTATTTTTTGCGCTGAACACCTATTCTCTACATGCTACTCAAGCAGACATGGCCACTTCACAACCATGCCAGATCTACAATATGCCAAGCCACAATATTGAAGCAGTCACCACAGAAACACCGAGCAACAACAAATCTCATCTAGTTGGAAAATTCAGCTCATGATCCAACATGCGTAATTGCAATCAGCAAAGCAGATGCTCCTTCAAGGGCAGACTACTCATGCAATCCAGTTAATGCTAGTTTATCCACCTCTACTGCAAAAGGTTAAAGCAAATTGCAGTGGATCGATACCAACCTTTTTGCGGACAAGGTGGGAAATATCAGATGCAGATTTTGAGGAAGAAGCACCATCAGCTGGCTTCACAGGAATCTGAAATAAAACGGCATTTTAAGGTTGTGCAATATTGGTGGTTGACTGATATATCAGCCAATATTTGACACTTAAGTTATCAGCACTGGCAAATAAGTGTCCAAATCAGCTAAGAAAACCATATCTTTATAATCTTGATATTAAATTTCTTACGTCATATGCATGTATATGTCCCTGGCTGTGTCTGAATAGCCCCTTGGTCCAATGTTGGTACAACATAGTTACACATGGGTATAAATTAGAGATGCACCGATGTGTCGGCCATTGATATTTAACAGGATATTTGTTAAATTTAAAACCGCATGAAAAAGGCAATTCCGATGGTTAATGAACTGCATGAGAAGGCAATGAGTTGCATAATGCAACATTTTTCTCTGTTTTTAAAAAAAAAAAAAAAAAAAAACCTCCATCTCCACATACTGTACAGCACAAACTACATTCACGCAGAGATAGTTACTCACGGGACACTGCAATTAACAAAAGTTCATTATGCATGTGCTTTAAAGCCTTGCCCATGCGCTTTTCTGAACACCCAAAGAGCAGAGGCACTTAAAAGCCTGCCAAACAGCACCTAGTTAATGGACCAATTTATCTTTCGAGTCTTATTGCTCTAATACACAAGGTTTACATAAACAGTTGGTTATGTCTAAAAAATACCATTCACAGGAGGTACACAAAGCATCAACACACCTGACTAGCAGTAGATGAAGATGGGCCACCATTTTCAGCTGGAAAAGCAGATGACGTGGATGCTCCTGCCTGTAACAAACAAGTTCCAAACTATACGGACACTCTTAACTTTAGCTTTTATTTTACAGCATCTCCATTTGACTTTTTTATTCCTTCATACTAAGAGCAACACTAGGGACGCATGCTATATCAGTTATCATATTGATTATAGGACAAGTTAAATTATCAGTACTGGGCAATGAACAACACAAGCTGATATTGAATAAAAAAATAAATCAGCCATTGAACAAGATGCATTAGGGTAATAGCATGAAGCAACTCACAAGAGTCTGATGGATGGCCTCAGAAGCCACAGCAGCAGTCCTCTGGCCCTCCTTAGCATCTTCAATCTTCTCAGTAATTTCTGGCAGCAACTGTTTCAACTCCTCAAGCTCGGTCTTCTCCTTTGTTGCCTCTGCACCTTCAGTCTTGTCTATCACTTCCTGAAGCATAGCTGGTGGAACAGGGATGTGGTAATCAATTAAGTGAACCATGCTTGCTCGTGGCAACTAATGTTATCAGCAAACAGATCTTTAGTTAAGAGGAATGAAGACTAGCAAAAGCCCACTGTAATAACGTCATACCAAGACGGCTCTCGATGACTTTGATAGATTTGGAGAAGTGCTCAATGGCTTGGCTGTACTGGGCAGTGTAGCAGTAAGTTGTGCCCAACTGGTAATGAGTCTCAGCCAAAAGACGGCTATGAGAGGGAAGGTGTTTCAGCTGCAAGGTTAAACACTCATTGAAGTCCTCCAGAGCCTGGCTGTAGTTACCTACATGAATCAAAGCAGAGACTTGGTGAAAGATGAAGTGTAATTTTTTTCCATTTTAAATGGTGGCTTGTGGCATCCAAAAGAGTCCTTAAATAGTCCGCTACTCTCTACACACACACACACACCTGATTCAGCGCCAACTTCTCCAAGTTTCAGGTAAATTTGTGCTGCCATTAGCTGATCTTCTTTGCAGTCTTTTCTACAAAACAGAATCACCCGTGTTTTGAAAGAAGTTTGATCAAATGCAGTTGATCACTAGAGGTAAAGACATACCTTTTATAAATCACCTTTGCAACCTCAAGCATCTCCCAGGCCAACTGCAGGTTGCCAACTTCATCCTCCTCACTTTCCTAAAAACACAAGGACACAAATAAGCCACTAAATCAATGAAGTGTGGACCAGTGAAAAAAAGAAAAAATAAATTACCAACCTTATCCTTCGAGTCACCCTCGCCATCCTCATCATCGTCGTCATCCTCATCGTCATCTGAAACAGAAAAATACGTTACCACCGCCAACGATTTAATATGAAGCCCATCACCATGCACACCATCAGAAGTGCTGCAGCTTAATCTAAATATTCTGTGAATTTACTAGCATTTAGAAGTAGATTCACCAGGTGAAAGAGTCATTAAATACTAAAATCTTGTGCTCCCCTGACTACCACACTTCACTACCTCCACCATCCTCTTCCATGGGTTCTTCAGTATCTTCATTTTTCTCCTCATCTTTTTCAGCCTTTTCACTGTTTGACAAAGTGATGTCTTCCTTTTTAGAAGCACCTTCATCTACACCATTTGCCTTAACATCCTTGTCAGCAGGTTCCTCATTTTCAGCAGGTGTTGCCTTGTCTTCAGCTAGTTTCTCATTTTCAGCAGGTTTTGCCTTGTCTTCAGCTAGTTTCTCATTTTCAGCAGGTTTTGCCTTGTCTTCAGCTAGTTTCTCATTTTCAGCAGGTTTTGCCTTGTCTTCAGCTAGTTTCTCATTTTCAGCAGGTGTTGCCTTGTCTTCAGCTAGTTCCTCATTTTCAGCAGGTGTTGCCTTGTCTTCGGCTAGTTTCTCATTTTCAGCAGGCTTTGCCTTGTCTTCAGCTAGTTTCTCCTTTTCATCAGGCTTTGCCTTGTCTTCAGATATTTTCTCATCGTCACCAGGTTTTGCCTCATCTTCAGCTAGTTTCTCCCTTTCAGCTGGTTTCGCAGATTTAGGTGATGCTGCATCCGCTTCCTTTGGCACTTCAACTTCATTCTGCTTATCTTCTTGGTTCTTCTGCTCACCTTCCCCCACCTCCGTTTCCACCTCTGACTGAGTTTTGTTGTCCGCTGACATGGCATCATAAACCTGTGCTCGAAGCTCATCTCTGGTTTCCTCTGCATTATAGTAGAAATTGAGTGAGATTTCTAGGTTACAGTGGATATACCTTTTGACTGGAATAATCCAATTTTCAATTGTGCTTTATGCTTTCATTATATACTGGCTTGAGCAGAAAATTGACAAGTCCATTTGGAGGTTCTTTGTGTAGATGTGATGTCTAGCCTCGAGCATGTATGAAAAAAACAAAAACAAAGTGAGCAGTTTTAACCAACAAACAAAGCTCTTTAAATACGAACCATCCAAGTTGTCAGCACTTTCAATCTTGGAGTCATTCTGTTTCTCGCCCTCTTCAGAGGATTCTTCTGGGACTCCCTCTAAAGCATTACCAAGCACAGTATTCTCCATCCTAGAAAAAGTTATTAACATTAGCACAAGTTTGTTAAAAATAATCCATTAAATGCCAATTAATTCAGATACCTGGCAAGCTCCAGAAGGGCCTTTCCACACAAGAAAAAAGCTTCTCCACATTCATCTGCAGTGTCTCCATACTTCTCAGCTCTTAATGGGGGGAGATGAAAATGAACACCATAATAGTAATTAATTGGGATGTGGCATACTCTACATGGATGACACGTTCTCCATTTATAATACAGGTTGTATTCACTACTCACAGCATGGCACAAGCCTCCTGGAAGACACTGACTGCCGCCACAACATCACCCATCACTAAGTGCCGGTTGCCTGTGCCAATCAGCTTCTTTGCTTCCTCAGTAACATCGACGGAGCTGCAAAGTTCACAAATATGTGTGTAACGAACCTCAATAACTTTGTTGAAATTAGCAAATTAATAAAATAATTAATTCTAGATACCAACTCACCTGTCTGCAGCGCTTGAGGAGCAAGGTTCCACCGCCATACTGCAAAAAAATTAAATTAAAAACAAAAATAAGTCGAACAACTGTAAAGTATTGTTCCGTGTTAAGATTATTTCTAACGGGAGAAAAACTTCAAAGTTTGCTGAGGGGGTGGGAGATGTTTGGAGCAGGAGCACAAAAGTTAGCGCGATGCTAAGACTAACATTAATATTAAGACCGTGTCTAGACATTAGAGCAAAATCTACACGCGGACATGAGTGGCACTTAACTCCACTGTTTAATTTTAGAATAATACCCAAAGTGGGTCATTTATAGAGTTTTTTGTGTCGTTACCGCCACCTTTTAAACTTAACGCTGGACTTCAGCGCGTGTGCAGCCATTTCATTGCCGCGCCAAGCTCACTGACACTGGCGGACCGTGAACAAAGCGGGACTCTACTAATTTATGATGTAACTTATAAACAAGTTAAACGTTCATATTAATCCTGCTCCCGCCAACAGAAAGCAGCCAAACACAACACGGTGACGGGAATCAACGGTGATGCCATCCCGTCGCGTGCGACGATGTCCGGGTGCTGGAGAAAAGCGAATTGAAGCACGAGCGCGAGGCATTTTTCCTGACAAGGACGCAGCTGCTGCAGCTTTGTTATAAAACGAAACCAGCCAAAACATCTTACTTTGACTTCCTTTAACTTATCGGTTTACTTTCCTTGTTTGAGAACGCATTTAATTTAAACATGATAGTTTACCTTTCGGCAGTTGAAGCAGATGCTGTTTCCTCGGGCATCTTAATGCGTTAAACAAACTACGCCGCAATGTACTATTGGATGATGTATGTGAAGATGGCAGGTTGTGAAGCTGCTCCTGAATTAGCCTTTGTTGGCGCCTTTAAATACGGATACAAGCTGTACTTCCGCTGAACTACGACCCTCCTGTCACAAAAACGCGGGAGAAATCATTTAAAGGGCAAGTAACGTCGTTAACCGCTACAGCTAGTCATACTGTCTATGGCTACAGTAAAGAGGAATGAAAAGTCTATTTTTATCCAGATTTTGTGAGTTGTATTTCGCAGTTGAGGTCAGTTTGAAATTAAAATAGACTCTGTTCACTTTCTTAAAGCACGTCCCTAGTGTTATTGTGAATGAAATATAACGTATAGTATTTTTTATTAGCAGCATTATCTATATTCCATTATTCTATTGATATAGCAACTTTACTTTTCAGCTGTCCTTACCTAGATAATTGTTTTCTCTTTCCTTTTTACAATCTAATATTTTTGAATTATTTCATTGTTACACTATCTTTTCAAAGTCATTTTATTGTAATGTGTCTGGGTGTCTAAATTTACTATTATTATTTTAATTTCCATTAATCTCAATTAAATGTACCAAATAAATTCGGTTCATATTATACTACCATGATGTTTTTGCAATGATTTCACACAGCAGTAATGAGTTTTTTTTTTAATTATAATGCTTAATTGTCATGCAAATAATGTCAAAATAAAATAAATAACCTTAAATGACTATTTAACCTTAAAGGTGCATATATATATATATATATATATATATATATATATATATAGATATATATATGTGTGTGTGTGTGTGTATGTGTATGTGTGGCCCATTATTTTCATTATGCAAAATAGCAATTTGTTGTTTAATTTTGTAGGGGTAATAATCAAAGACATGTTTTTGACAGGTTTCATAAAATTGACCTGTGAATAGATCTAAAATAAGCCCTTGTTCATAAATGTCCATTCCATGTTTGGCAAAAACAAACAAGCACATATTTCAATATGTAACAAAATCATTTATTGTGTTTATATGTACACAGGGTAATGAATGGACATTGGTGTCAAGGCACAGAATCTTGCAGAAGTGTGCGTTAATAGGGGTCATTAAAAGGGTAGTGAGGATGTCCTGCGTCTCGGGGCACAGACTTATCATCAACCTACAAAAAGTAAAAAGACAAAAACACTCAATTCAATTTAAAAACAGGATAAAACATACATAGTGTTGGAGTGCCTTTGATTTGGCACAGTCTTAAATGCAGAAGATTCAGCATCAAATTTACTTTTGAAGTAACCTTTTTGTTACTGTAAAATGTAGTGCTATGTTGTCGCTTTATAGTAATATAACTTACAGTAATGGTTGGCACAATGTAACGCCAGCCTCTGTGCAATGCGGTCACTTGACTAATTTCCTCAGGTTCAAGAGTAAAATCAAAGACCTGTAAATTAGCAGAGCAGTGCATTGTTACAATACAAGGTCATAAACAAAGAGGTGGAAGAATCAAGAAAAACTTTCAGAAACCTGGATGTTCTCTTTGATCCGAGACTGTGTAATGCTCTTTGGGATAGTCACAACTCCTCGTTGAGTTTGCCATCTGCCAAAATAACAATGAGGAAATACTATGTAATATTCGGTCAAGAAATATGAAATATGAACTAGTGCAAACACATGAATTTACCTGATGATAATTTGTGCAGAAGTCTTGTTGTATTTTTTGGCTAGCGCAGCAATGGCTGGTTCCTCCAACAGAACAGGTTCCTCTGGATGCTTCCAGGCTCGGTCAGGAGAACCTAGCGGACTGTAGGCAGTCATCACCAATCCCCGATCCCGACAGTGAGCCAACAGCTCAACCTGGGCCAAGTATGGATGGGACTCCACCTGCAAAACACTATTGTTACTCTACCAACTGATATAATAGGCCAAATAAATGAGGACATCGCATTTTCTTCTGACCTGTAAAACGGTGGGTTTGATGCTTGCAACTGCTAAGATGTCATCAATCTGCCTGCTGTTGAAGTTCGAGAGCCCAATGGCCCTGACAAGCCCCTTTCCCACAAGTTTTTCCATAGCAGCCCATGTAAGCTTGTAGTCTATATCATCATACAGCAAAGTTCCATCTTCCTTCCTAGGAAAAGAGGTATCACCTCGTCTGGACAAAAATAAGAGGAATATTACACTGGCATCTGAGAAAAGGCATTAAAGGGATAACTATTCTGATATTTTACACAAGAAGACATTTTGAAGAATGCTGTCATTCAAACACTTTCAGTTCCCATTGACTTCCATTATATAATTTGACCATACATTACAATAGAAGTCAATAGGAACCGAAACTGATTTCTTCAAAATACCAGCATTCTTCAAAATATCTTCTTTTGTGTTACACAGAAGAAAGAAAGTCATACAGGTTTGGAATGAAATGACGGAGTGTAAATGATGACGGAATTTTCCCTATCCCTTTAAGAGCACTTTATAGTTCATTCCCCAAAGGAGATAGGAAAATGTCACATGTCTATATTGTCAATAAACAAGACACCCTAGATAAGACAACAGTAGACTTTCAGAGTCTTGCACCCTTTCAATCTCCTTTATTAATATTTTTTATCATCTTTAATTTTTACTAAATTAACACACATCTTTAACATTGTGTTTATATATATATATGAAGAGTTCAGATGCAAAAGCCTCTAAATGCCATTTGAAATTTTCTTCTTTAATGATGATTTTTATCAAACTTGTATATTTAAGTTCAGTAATTTCACTTAAATAACAATTAATAGGTAATTATCATTGCCATTTAAGTGAAATTACTGAACTTAAATATACAAGTTTGATAAAAATCATCATTAAAGAAGAAAATTTCAAATGGCATTTAGAGGCTTTTGCATCTGAACTCTTCATATATATATATATATATATATATATACACACACACACACCACAACCGAGTGCTTACTGGAAGGCATATGGCCAATGGATGAGGTAGAGGTCCAGGTACTCCAGTTTCAGGTCTTTTAAGGTCTTTAACAGAGATGGCTCCACATCATCTGGATGGTGTTTGGTGTTCCACAGTTTGGAGGTAACAAATACATCCTCTCGCCTGATTCCCTTGAAAGTGGACAGAGGTTGTAAAGCACAAATGATTCCTTTATATATACAGTAAGTGTGAGTATATTTCATATATGTTTTCAACATAGTTGCCCTACTTTTTCAGGGCCCATCATTTCCTGGAAAGCTTCACCGATCTCTGGCTCATTCGCATAAATTGGAGCACAGTCAATGTGCCGATAGCCAGATTGCAAAGCCCAAATGACTGCCTGTTTTACCTGGAGATGACAACATATTTATACAAAATACTTATTGAAGTTTTACATTCAAATCAAATACAATAATTTGTGTAAATGTGTATTGAATAACAATATACACAGTAAATAAATGATACATCAATGAACTGTATATCCTGGTAAATTCGCCCTCGTCTTCAAAACATCAAGATTCCAATTCTGTCATGATTACAGTTGAGCTGATGTACTAAATAAACTCACTCACCTGTCCAGGTTCACTCTTCCATGTCCCAAGTCCCACAAGAGGCATCTTACGCCCAGTGCTGAGGACAGCAAAGTCATTCATACTCATCCTGTGTGCCTTCAGAGAAAAGAAAACATAGAACACAATATGAACAGTGTTCAAACAGAAGAAAGCATGGAATAGACTTTACTATATTAACTTTTTGATTAAATGTACTAGTAATTTAATCCAAACCCTAAACACTCACAGAAAGGCAGCAGAAGGCGTATGGTGAATGAATGCTAGCTACGGACCGAGTGCTCAAAAAGTCAGGATCAGAATGAAAGGAAGTGCAACATGCTGACTAATCAGCTGACTTCCACATCAGCTTTAGGAGGATATTATAAAACACCCTGAACTGCATTTTTGGAGAAAGCATATACTTTGGGTTTGCACATTTTAGAAAATTAATAATAAGAATGTGTTTGAGTCTTTGCATTTCATATAAGGGAGGTTGAATCATGTCAATTTCATTCACCCCAGTCATTATTCTATAACAGTTTCCTCAAGATTTTCAAGTTAGTGCAGTAAATCATTAAACAAGTGGTTAACGTACCACTCTTCGACAGTAAAACTTGTGAGAATGAAAGAGACGAAGAACACGTTGAATATGCTGCATTTCTCTCGGCAAAATCAGGTGATCCAAAGTCCAATGTGGCTTATCATTACGAAGAATGTCAGGGAAAGTTTTTTTTTAAAAAAAAAATATTATTGGTTCAGATACTTACTGTGTATGAATATGATAAGAAAATGTCTCCACTATAAAGCTATCCAGTTTGATTTTTTTTTTTTGAATATTTTCTCATAACGTAGACGTTTTTACTTCCCGTTCGCTGTCATCTAAAAAACACCCGTCAAAATAAAAGTCTCCATAACAACAAACAGAAACTCTTCAAATTTGCATTTAAATAATTTCTTTATCGAAAGATTGCATTTTCTAGTTTAGGTGTCAGTAATACAAATTAAAATCTACACAACATAATAGAGAAAATAAATCCCATGTCATTTTAGTTATATAAAAATGAGAGGATTAATCTAAAACTCATTTAAATGTTTCTATGTGAAAGTAAATCTAAGTGAATATTTAGTCAACTACACTTTGCACTCTTCTACCTATCTTTTATTTAGCAGATTACCCAATTTTATATTTACAAGAAAATACATATTTTATCTCCCCCTGAAATTAGGTGCAGAGTGGTTATGCCCAAGCTTCTCTTTGCTCAATGTGTTCAATTCAATTATAGAATCAAATGTACCTGCAGAGAATTCACCAAATTCAGAGACTGAAATCATATACAAAACTAATAATGAAAACAAATTTTCTTGTATACAGTTTAAATCATCTTTATAACAGGAGGCATTGAAACGACAATACATCAAATGTTTATTTTACATGGTACAGTTATTTCCGAATGAAAAAGAAAATTCATGTTTGCCAATTTCAATTAAAAGTATAAAATAGCATCAAAAACCACAGAGAACTAAATTGCCCTTGGGTGATTTACACAGAATAAGGTCAAGCTTTTGACGACAGAAATTGTTCTGTTTCTCCATATAATTCAAAAAAAGCACAAAAAAAAAATCTATAAAAACAGAAAGAAAAACTGAGATCACTCTTTTTCTCTCCGACTTCTCTTGTGACTCTTCTTCGACCGACTAGAACACACAGAGATAAATGCAGCATTAAAACAAGAAAAAACTATAATAAGTAATAATGAAGACAACCATTTAAATTGAGCATTACCTTTCTGGGGACTTGGAGTGACTGCGATGCCGGTGACTTCTGTGGTGACCTGAAAAAATAGACCAATATTTCCCTAATGACCAGTTTTTCCATTTACTGTAATCATTTTTTAAAATAACAAATTGTGGTGTCTTATTTTCTTTGTGTACTTCAAAACAGCTTGACTGTACCTGGAGATTTGGAGCGATGCCTTCTGTCCCTGGATCTGCTGCGGTGTCTACGGGGACTTTTGCTTTTGCTTTTACGGTGGCGGTCCCGGTCCCGGTCACGTCTGGGTGATGGGCTGAATAAATGATATATAAAGTAATCAGACAAATGTATTAAATTGTATAAATCACCAATAATAATGTGCCAAACCAATAATGAATATAAAATACATTGCCAACTTCTGAATTGTAATTCCATTACATACCTTCGTCTTTTAGGTGATCTGCTCCGTCTAGAGAAAGACAATCAGAACACAAATTATTCAACTGTTCAGTTATGAATATTACCCACATGAAATAATGATTGCATTTAAATGACAATTAGCACAATCACTTACCTTCTGGGTGAGCGGCTGCGTCTGTAGCGTGGAGATGGAGACCTGCGTGGCCGATCCATATCTCTGTAACTTCTTCTGTGAGGCTCTGGTGTCTGCACTCTCTCAGGCTGCAGGACACAAATGGTTGTAGAACAATTATATTCACAAGATATAATCAGTTATTGTAAGACATTGTGGGTTCTCTTTTACCTTCTCTTCTTCATCATCCTCCTCTTCACTGGTCTCAACCTCATCCAGGTCTTCTTCCAGGGCACTAATACGAGTATCCAGTAGCTCAGCTTCCTCCAAAACCTGTCTCTTCTGTGAAGAAAAAAAACAACAGCAAATGAACAAGTGGACACATTATTGTATGACATATTTGACTCAGTACACTTCCTCTTAAATTCACATTAATCCAAATAACTACACAAATAAAATAGGGTCTATATGTGAAAAAGAAAGTACACCCTTTTGAATTCTATGGTTTTATGCATCAGGACATAAAAAAAATCCTTTGGTCTTTAACCCTCTGGGGTTGTTTGTTTCAGAGTCACACCCGGGGTGTTCGGGTGCAAATGGACCCAAAGGGCGGGATCCAAAATGAAGAAGCCATGTGTGACAAACTAAGTGACAAACACCCATGATTTTATAGCTTGTAGAGACACTTTTAGCAGCAATAACTTAAGGTTATGATTTTCTATATGACTTTATCAATCTCTTCCATCGTTGTGGAGAAATTTTGGCCTGCTGTTCTTTACAACATTGCTTCAGCTCATTGAGGTTTGTGGCCATTTGTTTATGCACAGCTCTCTTAAGGTCCTGCCACAGCATTTCAATTGAGTTTGGACTCTGACTGAGTCAATGCAACACCTTGATTCTTTTCTTTTTCAGCAATTCGGTTGTAGATTTGTTGGTGTTTTTTGGGATCATTGGCCTGCTGCATGACCCAGTTTGGGCAAAGCTTTAGCTGGCGGACAGATGGCTTCACATTTGACTGTAGAATACTTTTGTATACAGAGGAGTTTATGGTCGACTATATTTGGTTTTCACCAAATAATAGATTTTAGATGCAACTTCGCAAACCTAAGCACAGTGCTGCTATGTTCTTTATACAGAGAAGAGGTTCTCTTTTTAGGTTCTTCTAGCAACCCTTCCAAACATGTCATACTTGTCCTGTCTTTGTCGAATTGTACTGCCATAAACTTTAACATACTAACTGAAACCTGTAGAGTCTGAAGTGAAAACAATACCTTGAGAGGTAGTGGCTAATCTTTTTATTTTATCACTATTTTTTTTTTTTCATGTTAATCACAGAGATCACAGAAATGACCGTTCAAAAGACAAATGAGGTGCAGGAGTATTTTGAATTAGTAATAAAAAGGAGTATTTTGAATTAGTAATAAAATGGAAAAGTTTTATGCAAGCTGTCTGTGCTATGTAAAACTGGCATAATTCCACTAGAGCCACATCTAACCATATATTTAGGACATATATGGTGTGATAGTCGAAGCAAGCAAATGCCCCTCGCGTATTCACTTAAACCCTGAAAAAAATAACTGGGCTTCAGAATCAGGATCAGAATGAGCTTTATTCGCCAAGTGTGTTTAGCGGCATTTATTATGGGATGTGACTGTTTGATTTATAGATTGTTTCAAATGGATCATAAATACACAAGTCTGTAAAGGATTTCTTACTTTTAGACTAGTCAGTTACAAAACTTCAGTTTAAACACTATTTTGAATAGGGTCCTTTCTAAATTCAAATTTTTTCTTGTGGACTATATGTAACAATATTTAATGTAAAATATCTTATGTTAAAAAATAACATGAAATTTGCATGATCCCTTTTATGTTGTTAAAATAATTAACATCTTGCAGATTCTGAAAGGTGTGTGTAAACTTTTGACCACGTCTGGCACTACATGTATGAAGTACAACCAACCTGAAGTCTTGGAAGGATGATGTCGCACATCCGCTCTGCATGAAGAAGCTCATCTATGAACTCATCGACATGCATCAACTCAAACTCTATGTAAAGAAGACACATTATTTGCATTTTTTTCCGCAAGGAAAAAACTTTCAATGCATTTACCCAATTAATATTGAAATGTATTTATAAAATAAACTCCTCACCTCCATTTCTATTCTGGCTTTTGATTTTTCTGTAGTCATTGTATAATGGTTCTAAATACTTGTAGCAATCCACAGAAGTTCCAGTCAGGCGCATATACATCGCTCCAAGCAAACGGACATACCTGGAGTGGGGAATAAAAGCAGTACAGTAATACAAAAAGAGTAAATGCCAATTAATACAGATAAGAATAGTAAACTACACACTAACTTGAAGTCCTCATTCTTGATGAATTCCACAATGATGTCCTTTTCAGGCTGAATCTGCAGCATCTTTAATGTCAGACATAAGAATGGAGTAGGCTTGATGTTTCCTCCATATACACCACCAACAAACTTTAGCTCCATTGCTTTGTCCACCACAAGCTCAGCTATATTTTACAGAGGGGCAATAACAGGGACAATTAAAAATGGTGCTTGGAACATTAATTCCATAATACCATTCATATGGAAATATATCTAAATTTTCAGTATGATGATCACACTATGCTGTAAAAATTGCTGTACACAATCTTGTAATAGCCTTCTTTCTTCTAATTGACAGTTCTCTTTGCTGTGAAATCTTTCATGATTTTATAAAGTAAACATAAGAATAACTTTTTTTATATTGTTCATAATATTTATACAATTAAAATAAACATCAAATTGATAAACATTAAGTTACAGTATTTCATCTAACCTTTTTAGCCATAATTATATATAACAGAATCTGCACCAAATTTTTGGTCTGCACCAAAACCATGTTTTCTCAATACAATGTATGTTTTTCCCCACTCCTCAAGCTTGAGCTTCATCATTATTCATACTATCTGGGCTATAAATTCATTTTCTTTTTGTAATTTTATTTTTGTAAATAACTGCGTTACTCTTGTTTGGGATGTAACATGAACAAATACAGTATGAAACGTTAGTCCGGCACACTTGTCTCACCTGTAAGTCCAAAGCATTCCTCTTTCCAGTACTTAGACTCATATATGCGTGTCCGTATAATCTTCTCGACAAGATACTGAGGATTTGTTCCATGTATACTATTGGCATCTTTTACCGTTCTATTTGCCATTGTGGCTTACAATTTTAAACGAACAAACGAATCAACGATACACTAAAATGCCATGGAGAAATACTGACGAATGACTTCCGGGGGAAAAGCGTGCGTCACATCCCTAAGGTCAAGCGATATTTTACTGTCCAATCAAAAACTATTCTACGTCATCTGCGCGCGAAAGAGTCGAGGAGACTGGACTGGAGTTAGCTGTTTGATTGTGTTCTCTGTCCGCTGTGCTGTAAGATGCTTTTAACTTCATGCGTATTATTTACATTTTAATTTCCCAGTTTCAAAGTGAGACGGAGACGCAATAGTGTTTTTATTTATACGTTTAATAAGAACGCCTGGTAACGTTACTGTTCCAAACATCAGCTGGTGAGTAAGAAAGAGGCGCTGGGGATTTAAAGTTGTGTCGGTTGTGTCATGACTCATGTTACGTTAAGTTTCATACGGAACGATTTTGCTATACCTTAAAATAAAAAAAAGATATTTTAACAGTTTGATATGTATTCTTAACTTTTCCATATTTAGCCTTTCAAATAAAACAATACGTAAAAGTTAGCTTAGTTTTTTTTATTACAGCTGGGAACTTCAGTCAATTGCTTTACGTTAGTTGGTGAAGACCCAGTAGAAAATTGTAGTTAACGTTATTCTCTTGGATCATATCTCAAGCATCCGTAGGAAAATATTTAACTTTTTAAATTATGTAGCCTATATAATGATATTTTGAAATTCTACTTGAATTGTGAAGATGGTGTATTTAAGCAATCTTGATACATTAACAGACCCATTATTTATATATATATATATATATATATATATATATATATATATATATATATATATACACACACACACACACACACACACACACACACATACACATGAGTGAGCGTGCGTGTGTACTGTATGTTTATGTATATATCTATGTTTGTATAATGAATCAGGTTGCGATTGTTACTGTTTTGACTATAGAGTACATAATAATTAGGTCATAAACCAATGCTGTGCTTTACAGACCTAGTATCAGATCTGCACCATGAGCCGTTACATCACAAGACTGAGAATGAGAAGAACATACAAATGGAATGGTAGACCAGTCGGTGAAGACAGGAAGCTAAGAAGGCAATACTATGAGTATGTGCACTTATCACATTTTCATCATCACTGAGACAGACGTGCGTAGATAGAACTCTAAAGATTTCTCTACTTTAAGGGAAAACTTAAGAAATTAGGGAATTTAAGATTGTTATTTGATTTTGGGGCCTTGAAAGTAATTGAAATTGTATTGTGTATATTACATTTATTGGTTAAAGTTCAGTTCAAAAATGTCTAATTGGGTAGAAATTGGTCTTTCTGAGGGCAGTCTCTAAAATGTTTCCAGTGAGCATTAGCAAAAAAGGTTATATAACCCAACCACGGATACAACAGCAGTAATGCTTGCTTTCTTTGATCCCCACACAGATCTATGTCCATTTCTGTGGATGGAAGGACTGAAGATTCAACAGTGTCTTTAGGCCAGTACATTTTGATTGAGGGTGATAATGATGACAATCCCTTTGTGGCACAACTTCTCAAACTGTACACTGATGGTAGGAGCAGGTCATGTCTTTATCCAAAATATGTATATTTGCATGCTTTCTGAGTCTGACTATAATCTGTGCTGGTTGATGTTATATTTGTACCCAGATTCAGGGAAGAAGAAGACTGCTGTAGTGCAGTGGTTTGTGCGTATGTGTGAAGTACCTCAGAACAAACGCAAGCTCTTGGGCAGAGATCCCCATCCACAGGAGGTATTTTTCTACCAGGACCGCTCTTGTGAAAATGAGGTTGATGGAGAGACCATTCTTGCAGCAGTACAGGTACACATGGTATAGCTCATCATATTTTTAAACAGTGAATGCGCATTACATTAGTACAATCAGTAAGTCTTTGCATGGTTTCAAATTATTTATTTCAAAAATGTTGTCCTCTAGAAAAGTAGTTGAATTCGTGCTGTCAAATCGATCAATTGTGATTTATCGCATCTGACATAAAATATTTTGTTTATATAATATATGTGTGTGTATTTATATTTATACACAACCATATATGTAAGCAGAGAGAGAAAGACTACAATTCACACACACACACACACACATATATATATATATATATAACACACACACACTTATATATATATATATATATATATATATATGTTCAATGCGATTAATCGTAATTCATCGATTTTATAGCACTAATTTGAATTCATTTTATTTTATGATAACATTTCTATAGGGTTTATATACATGGTATAACGTTTGTAATAATTATGATTTTTGTTTAAATGTTAATGAAAGAAGTCTCTTATGGTCACCAGGGCTGCATTTATTTGATATAAGATACAGTAAACCAGTCTTTTTTTATTGTAAAAATATTTTACCATTTTACTATTTTTTTAATTTAATATATTTAAACATGCAATTTATTCCTGTGATGGCAAAGCTGAATTTTCAGCAGTTATTTATCCAGTGACGGACGCATGTTTCTTCACACATCATTCTGATTTGCTGCTCAAGAATCATTCATTACTGTCATGTTGAAAACTGTTGTGGTGCTTAATATTTTTGTGGAAACTGTCATACACTACATTTTAAAAGTTTGGGATAAGATCTTTATATAAAAAAAAATTTAATACTTTAATGCATCAAATTGATTAAAGTGACCGTAAAGACATTTAGGTAATATTTTACAATGAGGTCTCATTTGTTAACATTAAATAACTACTTTAGTTATGATAAAGTAACAATGAACAAAACAGCATTTATTAATACATTTTTAAAATAAAAAGTTGTATTTGTTAACATTAGTTAATGCACTGAGAACTAACAATGAAGAACAATGTTAACAAATGACACCTCATTTTAAAGTGTTACTGACATTTATAATATTACAAAAGATGTATATTTCAAATAAATGCTATTTTTTAACTTCTTTTCTTTAGAGAATCAGCAAAAGCAAAAACAGTTTTCAACGTTGATACTAAAACCATTATTAATAGTTGAGCACCAATAATAATTGATGATAATTGAGCACTAAATTAGCATATTAGAATGATTGTTGTGATATTTCACAATATTACTGTATTTTTTTATAAAATAATTTCAGCCTTGGTGAGAAACTTAAATCTTCATCATTCCCAAAGTTTGACTGTCAGTGTATCATTATACCTACATATTTAATAAAAAAATAAATAAAAATGTATATTTAATAATAATTAATGAAAACTCTGATTCTAGATTGACTATGTCCCAGCTGAGGATCCTTTCCCAGAGGGCAAGAGCAAAGACACATTATTTGTCAAACTCTTGTGGGACACCAAGTCTTTCAGAGAATTAAATCCTGAGCTGATGCAGCCCTATCAGAGCCCTAAATCCCCCCCACCATCTTCCCGGGCCTCTCAGGCTCGTGCTCTTCCAACCCCGGATCCAACAATAATCAAACGGGCCATGTCAGGCACCCTCCCCCATGGTAGCATGAGCACCGGCAAAATGAGCACCAGTGAGGCGGAGTCTCTTCACTCTGCCTCCAAACTCTCTGCAGCTAAAGCTCTCAGTGCAAAGAGGAGAGGCAGAGCTTCCTCTGGTCCACATGTTCGCAAGAAGCTGGACTTGTACAGTGAGTGCCATGCATCCACATACATTATGCTTTTAATTGTTTTAATAGAACTACAATGAATAACAGTTTTTCTTTATATTATGGTAGGTCCAAAAAAAAACATGTCCCGAGATGATGTTCTGGGGGAGATTCTTGATGAACACACACCTACTGAGAAGATACTGACGTCTAAGTTGAACACGTCTCCAACCGGCCGCATCTCCATTTCCATTAGATTGACTCCTTTTAATCAGAATGAGGAGGAGCATGTCTCTCCTCTGTCATCACACAGCCCTGATAAACCCAGATTGACTGCATATGACAAAGACAATGACACTAGGTAAATCTATTTAGATTTGAAATTATGTCTTGGTTCTCTTTTGATCTATCATTTTAGTGAATTATCATTTTAGTTAGAAATAAGCAAACTAATTTTGTTCTTTGTATGTTGAAGATGGTTTAATTGTCCTATATTACTGAAAAAGTAAAGTCTATTTATAAAAGTTCTGCTGCCCTCCTAGTGCTTTTCTTGGGGTGCAGCCACTTAGGGATGATGATTCAGAGTCACTAATAAGCACAGGCAGGACTCCCCGGAAGAGAGAGGCAACCCCCAGGAGAGCAAGTCTAAGAGCCCTGAAGTGAGTCATGTTCCTCTATCCCTGCACAGAGGGGGTACAGACTCATTTTTTTGCTGATGTGAGTGTAAAATGATCCATAGAGTAACCGTTATGTGTTTGTCTCTGTTCAAACCAGGGCAAGAACTCCATCCAGCAGGAAAGATTCAACTGCTCTCAGAGAACCAGCACTGGCTTCTTTGTAAGTGTTGGAATTATCTGTCATCATATTGAATTTAAAAACTATTGAATTCACTACATTGTGAAATTAGAAGTGAATTTCAGCTTTTACGTTTGTGTACAGATGTTTTTATAGGTCAAAGAAAAAAGTTTTAACCCTTAAATGCATGAATGTTTTGGTTCTTTAGCAACCCAGTTCTATATCTAACACGGATGAATTTCAGTTTGTCGCGATAATAAAGAACTCTCCTGATATTAGAGTAACAATTAAATAAGAATAAAATAAAGCATATTTTGTTACCTTTTGTAGCTCGGAAGGGTTCGGTTAGATCAGATGTTTTATACCATCAACACTGTCCTTGTCAGAGCTCATTTCATTTCCTTATACATTCAGCATCTGTAACATCTTCAAAATCAATATTTTGATTGCTGATAGCTTTTTCACCAGATGCATCATCAATTGACTGACACTAATTGATTGCGTTCAGTACTTGCTCTGCAGTAAATCACTGAGCCACTTCAAGTTTTGCTGATGAAACTTCCTATTCTTTTGTTTTCTGTCTACAGTAATCTGTCTAAATTAAATCTAAATTAACCCTATGCTCTCCATCCACTAGCATTTTCAGGCATTTCCGATGTTTCTGTGTGAATGAGAAACTTCACCTTACTGCACGTGTAAAACCTCACAAAAGCTCACTGAGATGATACAGATGGAAACATAAATAATAGTTATCACACAATTGTTCTGACAGGATCATTTTATTTAGTAAAATATCTCACCATTCACTGATGTGTCCAGGTCGCACTCAGTCACCATATGTTTCTAAAACGCAATTGCTCTCATGTATTTCCGCAGGACAGAAAATGTGAGTAAATGTTCTGTCGTCTTTGCAGGACTGAGGTGAAGAGTGTGGAAAGTAACGTAATTTAGCAACAATGTGAAAATGAATAGCACATATTATGTCATACTTTTTAAATACCTCCGTTTTGACGGTCTACACTACAACTCGAAAACTGCGTTTTTAAATTTAGCCACTTTAGATAGTGTTTTCAAAAAGTTAATTTTCATCAATAAAAACGCTGTCTAGTTGTGGATGGAAGGCCAAAACTCAGAGAAAAAGATACATTTTTTAATTTCAATTAAATTTATACATTTACACAAATTTTTCATCTTAAAAAAAGTTTTTTCTGTCAATTGTTAGACAGTTTTGTTTATTGTATATTACTGTTCAATTTGCCTTTGAATTACATTTTCAACCAGCAGGGAGCAGAAAATAACAGTTAAGATTGTTATCATAGAGTAAATCGATGGTGCTTAACCATAAACAGGAGGCAAGCAGACAAATTTCCTCAAGAGGAAAAAAACTCTGAATGCACACTTAATATTTTCTGCTTGATTTCACCATGTTTCTTTATATTATATATGTTAGTGTAAGTTAAGACTTTCCGCTGGATCACTGTTACTTATGAGGCTCACAAGCTGTTGATTGGAAGTAAAATAAGGCCAAATGTTTTTTAAACAAAAAAAGATTTTTGAATTGGACTACTTGAAAAGATATGCATTACATTATCTGCGCTTGCATTTTAATGTCAAATCTGTCAAATGACGGAGATCGCTGTCAAATCTGTTCCTGGGAAAAGTAATGTTTGTAAAAGGAACTACTTTTCGTTACCAAATTTTCAGGAGAAGCGCAATACACTACATTTTAACCCTAAAAAGTAGTTGCATTACACACAACACTGAGTTTTAATAATGAAAATGTGTGTGAAATGTTTTGAATTGAAATATTCCAACTCCGGCACAAAATGAACCGGAGTTGTCCTTTAAATAAACAACCATATTGGATTTCAGCCTCCTAAAAAGAAAGCCCTAAAAGTACAATGAATGCAGTAAAATACAAGCACTGTTAATCCAATGCATAGTTTTTTCAATTAGTGCAATTCAACAAGCTTTTTCGTCTCATTCGGCCTTATTTTACTTCCATACTGTTGGTCTGCTAAAGGTTCCAGCATGTTACAATAAGTTAATAAATAAAGTAAAAACCTTAATTGATGACAAGAATATAATGAAACTGCTTTGGCTTTTAGATTGCCTATAGTGCCATTTGAACCCTTTGACTTTTCAATTTCAAAAGATTTTCTTATCAATATGTCAATTATCCAGACCAAGCTCTTATGTGATCTCACAGTAGTAAGCGAGTGAGAGATTGTGGTTAAACATGATATGCGTGCATACACACTACTTGTCATGCTGTTGTTGTTTTTTTAAGTCTTACTCTATATTTCTTTATATGTCTGTGAACAAACTGATAGAGCTGAAGAGGAACATGAAGATTCACCCATCCAGACTGCTGCTACTCCTCGCTCTAAGAGGAAGTCTGCCCAGCTGGTGTCCTCCCGCATCAGAAAGCAGCTGTAGGTATTTTACTCGATTGACTTGAGCTGTCAGTCAATTGAAATAAAATAATTTTAATAATGCTGATTAATCAAATTAATATAAATAATTAATGATCATACATTTTCTTTCTGTGAAAAGCTGTAAAATTTACAGGTTTACAGTTAACCGCAATCGAGTTTCTCAATCAGGCTTGAGGTCATTCACACAGGATGCCTACTTGCATTGTGGCTACTGTTTTTAATTACGCAATCTGGATTTTGTTTTGCATCTAATTAATCTATTGAAATAATATACATGTCAATGATACATATTTAGGTGCCATTTGAAGTGATTATTTTAAAGGGATATGTGATTGTTTTTTTTAAAGAAATTTGCTACAAAACAAGGTTGACCTGCAGTCTGATGGTGAGGATGGCAGTGATGACGATTGCTTCGTACCTACAAAGATTGACTTGAGTAGCAGCGATGAGGAAGAGGAGGCAAAGATTGACAGTGAAGATGAGCTTATAGTGAAGAAGCGCAGGGGCTCTCGAACACCCCGGCCTACAGAGAAAACCCGTGTCTCTGCTAGGACCCCACGTAAAACACCCAGCAAGAAGGTAAAAAGTTGTTTTTGCTATACTTAGTCTTCCTGCTAGCAGATAATGTTCCTTAACTGAACCCATGCTGCATTTCACATGAAGTTAACATTGCATGGCAAATAATTTATATTTTATTTAATTCCAGACTGCTCCATCCACTCCACGTACACCACGTAATGCCACTCCCAGCATACCTAGCAGGAGCGCTCCAGCCAGGAAGCCAGGGAATGTTTTGGAAGAAGCACGGGCACGGTAGGCAACAGCACAGACAAAAGTACCACAAGGCCTATCAAAGTTAACCAGCAGAGAGAGAGACTACAGAGTTCAAAAGTTTGAACTCTTTCTATTCATCAAAGATACTTTGTCACTGCTGTTTTCAATGCCGAAAAGAAGAAATATATCTTGAGCACGTTTCAAAACAGCATATTAGGATGATTTCTGATAGATCATGTGACTTGAGTAATGGCTACTAAAAATTTTAAAATATATTAAAATAGAGCAGTTATTTTTATGTTGTAATAATATTTCACTTTTTTTCACTGTTTTGAGATCAAATAAATGCAGCCTTGGTGAGCATAAGAGACTTTTTTTTCAAAAGCATTTCTTTCTTTTTTTGCAATAGGTTGCATGTTTCTTCTGTCCCTGAGTCTTTGCCATGTCGAGAACAGGAGTTCCAGGACATCTACAACTTTGTGGAGAGTAAAGTCATTGATGGCACTGGAGGGTAAGATTCTGTCATTAAGGTATAACTAACTCATCTGTAAATAATAAAAAAGGTAATACATTTCTTTTTACTTTTGCAGGTGTATGTATATCTCAGGTGTTCCTGGTACTGGTAAAACTGCCACAGTACATGAGGTGATCCGGTCCCTTCAGCAGTCCTCTGAACAAGATGAGATCCCTCACTTCCGCTTCATTGAAATAAATGGCATGAAAATGACAGACCCGCACCAGGCTTATGTACAAATACTGCAGGTCTGTATGCTGCCTCCCCTTTCTATCATTTTAAAATTCTTTCCTCATTATTGTTATATAGTATTTTCTGTTCTGTTGTAGAAACTGACTGATCAAAAAGCAACACCTGATCATGCAGCCACCCTACTGGAGAAACGCTTTAGTGCTCCTGCACCAAAAAAAGAGACAACTGTGCTTCTAGTAGATGAGGTAAGACTTTTGTTCCTGGTGACATTATTAACCACAAACATGCCCTCTGTTTTGCCGATTCGCTGGTCTTACCTGGCCTAGATCAGTGGCTCTCAAACGTTTTGACTCAAAAAGCCCCCTGTTTTCCAATATTATATTTAAATAATAAATATATTTTTCTTATTATAATAAATAATAATTGCATTATCCCCCATATATAGGCTATGATATTATCCCCCATATAGGCTATGATATTTTCAGTATTTCTTCTGTAATTGACAGCTTCTTTTTCTCAAACAGATTAAATTGACCACAATTGATTCTATGATTTCAGAGTTTCAAGAGGTTATTGAGGAGGGGGGCTTTTATGCTTTTTAGAATTTTATTTAGTTTAGAGTTTGACAATTTATTAATTAATTTATTTATTTTTATTGTCCTGCAGGGTCCCAAAAACCAGCTTAACTACCTTAAGTTTGTTTGAACCGTTTTTTTTTTTTTTTTTTTTCCCCAGAGTATTACTGGAAAATCTTTTTGTCAATCAGATGATGATCTTTAGCTTGATGTATTTAATTTTCTTGGTCTTTATTTCCACTTGTTTCCTGTCAATAATTGGTTAATTTGTACTTTGAGGAATAATATATTTCCAATCATCGTTTTAATCAATATCTTTCTTTTTTTCAAGCTTGACCTCTTGTGGACCCGTAAACAGAATGTGATGTATAACTTGTTTGATTGGCCAACAAGGCGCAATGCTCGTCTGGTGGTTCTTACCATCGCAAACACTATGGACTTGCCTGAGAGAATCATGATTAACCGGGTTGCCAGTCGACTGGTAAGAAAGACCATTTCACAACATTAAGATGCCATTCAATTATGATTTAAATTACATTGGCCAATGCAAATAATGGAAATGAAACATGAATGTTGTTTTATCACTTTCAGGGACTGACAAGAATGTCCTTCCAGCCATATACCTTTAAACAGCTACAACAGATCATCACGTCAAGGCTAAACAGAGTAAAGGCTTTTGAAGAAGATGCTCTTCAGCTAGTCTCAAGAAAGGTAGGAGCACTTTCTTATAGGGCTGTGCAAAAATTTTGATACATGTTACTATGGCGATATTTTTTTTTCACGATAGTGTATCTATGTTTCAACCTCTAGTATCGATATTTAAAAAAAAATAAAAAATTTCCGAGTGTGTATAAAAGAGCGCATGCATACTAATGCTCGGACACACTCGCTCTCTCTTGCATGCAGACACCGGTCTCCGTGACGCATCCAGTTGTCTCTCATATACGGCCAATGTCTCAGAAGTTAGTGGGAGTGAGACAATAGAGAGCCTAAGTCCCTCCCCTCCGCTTCCGGTTAATGGGACCTTATTTCGGAAACAATATGTATGGTAGTCAATGGTGAGAGACAACTTTTCTTTTTATTCTGTCTGAACTGTGCCCCGAATTACACATATGATGTCATGTTTGTCAATTTTAAAGATAATTCTGGAAGTCAAGAAAGTCGCAGTTTATCATAAAACAGAACAGTAACTTTTCGTTTTATGTGAAAATCGCTCAATGATCTACATCTCCCGGGAAGCGAAACAACGTGCAAGATCCATTGCTCGTATTTGTGTAGTCTGCTACTAAACGCTCGGGCATGACGGCATAATGGCATAACGTTACAATTATAACGTAAGTCTATTGAAAAAATGACACGTTATAGCTTCAATAAAGTTGCTTCATTCATTGAGAGAAAATATGCACCATTGGGGTTTGTAGTAATTACGTATTTTCTTATCTCTTATATCTCAACAGTTTTACATCAAACTGAGCCTTTCTTGACTTTAAAATGTATTTTTTACATTGACAAACATCATGTGTAATTCAGGGCACGATTCAAACAAGATCAAAATATTTGTTGTCTCTTGCCATTAACTATCATATAATATTTTTCCGAAATATTATATCGTATCGTGACCCATGTATCTTGAGGCCCCTGCAAATACCCATCCCTACTTTCTTGTGAAGCCATGAGGCATTGTGGGTTACGTTTTAAACACTCTAGTAGTTTCTAGGGTGGGACAAAATATAGATAGGGCAATATATAGTTGTCCTTCTCCCATTTGATATGAGAATCGACCACATGGCGCCAAATATCGATATTTTAATTAATAAAATAAGATGCTCTAAATAGATTTCCCTGCTCCCAGTGTCGCTACTTCATGGCTCCTCGAGGTTGCACTTAACACATGATTAGGGGAAACGTGAACATAACTTAACTAGCCTAAGAAAAATGTGTTTTTAACGGGATGGTGGATAGCAGTGCGAGTAAATAATAGATACACAGCCACGTTTAAGTCCGAAGTCAACCAGCAGCCGGGAATGCAATGGTTAAAGTTAAATGCAATGTTTTGCAAGGAACTGAGCCATGTATCGTATTATATCGTATCGTAATTTGAGGTACCCTATAATTCCCACCCCTTGTAGTTTCTGTGCTGTTCTTTGGCAACTAGGTTGTGGTAATAATCACATATCATTCTGAATCAATGAGAGATTATTTGTGGTCTTCTAGGTGGCAGCGCTTTCAGGTGATGCGCGCCGTTGCCTTGATATCTGCCGACGGGCCACAGAGATTTGTGAGCACTCTGGAAGTAGCAATGGATTGGTTGGAATGAGTCATGTGATGGAGGCTTTGGATGAGATGTTCTCCTCTTCCTACATCGCAGCCATCAGGTAAAAAATAAAAGGGAAAGAATATGAACTTTCCACAGCCCATTGTTCCTTACAGAAACACGTTCATGCTGCTCCAGTTGTTTGGTGATAAGTAAAAGAAACTGATTTTATTCTGCTTATTTCAATGTTGTTATTGTAGGTGTGCATCTGTTCAGGAGCAGCTTTTCCTGAGGGCTGTTATTGCAGAGTTTCGTCGACTTGGCCTGGAAGAGGCCACTTTCCAACAGGTCGCTAAATTGCTAAATGAACTCATTTATAACAGCCGTTATTCTAAATTTGATCCTTATATGATCAAGATAATGTTTTAATGCCTGAATTTAACTTGTTGTTTTTTTTTCGCCACAGGTGTTTGTTCAGCACCAGGCATTATGTCGGGTTGAGGGTTTGCAGCCGGTGAGTGTGTCTGAAGGGCTGGCAGTCTGTCAGAGGCTGGGTTCTTGTCGCCTGCTTCTTCTGGAGGGAAGCCGCCTGGACCTGCTGCTCCGTATCAGACTCAATGTTAGTCAGGATGATGTGCTTTATGCTTTGAAGGCTGACTAAATCTCAGCCCTACTGTGACCTAGCAACCAGTGTGGATCAACTTAACCTGACCACATCTTTGGACTTTCAGTGAGCAGATTTTGAATGAGATCTTGCGTGGTGCATTACAGGTAAATTCTTATTAACTGAATGTGAGCTATTGTATTAAAGGTTCAAATTAAATTATAAATTTTAATTCTTAAAATTATACATGTGTAGTTCTATAAGTACATTTTAAATGTGCCATTTTTGTGTATTGTATTTGTACCTTTTTGCTTCAAATCATGTCTTTCAGTTGGCTCTTTAATGTCTTTAGAGCATTTCACAAATGCTTTATTCTAAAGCAATATTTATGCATTTTAGTGTGGCAGAGTAAGAATCACACATTTCTTGTTTAGCATTTAATGACGGTCATGTTAAAATGTACAATTTTCATTCAAAGCACCAAAATGTTTTTACTTGTTTGACTTGATAAAATAAAGCTGTTGACTGATCAGACCACATAAGACATTAATTGGTTCTGTAATCAAAAGTACAATATTTCAATCATTACAATTAGAAATATTGCAAGCATAACGACTAAATGTTTATCACAAATATAGCATAAATGTATAACACAGTTGCATTTAAAGAATATCTCTATATAAAGGTCACATGCTAAATTACAAACAGAAAAAAACGACTATAATACTTCATTAAATTAGCAAGAGACTGGTGTGATAGGTATGCTAACCAAGTTTGTGTGTTTAAAAGGCAACTTTTGCCATATAAACCTGGTAAAATTTGTATGGTGTCCCTTTAAAGACTCAAAAAAGAATAATCTATCTGGAACAAACCCCACCCACAGGAATAAAAAGACGACATCCAACTAGAAAAGCAGTCCTACAAAATTAAAATTTAAATATCAGATATTTTGACTGAAGAATCAAATGTCATGTCTAGTTTTTGTTCCTGAATTTTGTGGTTTGTGGTTTGTTGTATGATGAAATTTCCATCTTAATGATGGTTAAAGTTGCATTAAGCAATCTCCACTTCAGACCTTCTATAACTTTACACAAGTGCTCTGTATAGTGAACATTGTCTGTTTCTGAAGGTCTCACAGCTGAGGTGAATTGTCTGTTTCTTTTCTCTCCCAGCTGAGGTGCTTTTGAATTTGTGAGAAAAGCTTCATCCAAAACTATATATATACATATATATATATATATATATATATATATATATAAATTCGTGACTTTGATTTATCAAAGATAAATTACCCTGACCCTACACTTGCCGTGATCTCCATATTGGTGTACTGGTGACTGGCTGAGTGATATTCTTCAAGCTCAGACTGTTCTGCCAGAAGGAGATATGAATGGTTGAGGATATTTGTGGAGCATTCTGGGAAGGTGATAGAACAGTTACTTGGGCAGGAGTGTAATTTTTCATTAGTCACATGAGATGAAGCAACATCGCTGTACACATAGTCATTCCCCGTAAAGCATGGGATTTTATCGTTGTTCAAAATCACATAATCTTGAGCCATCTCCAAATCCTCTCTGAAATTCTCCCCATTTTTTTCACCAGATAGTAAGCCATGCTTAGATGTTGAAAGACACGTAGATTTCCTCATGGGTTTGACCGTAGCTTCCCTCTCGGGCAGAATCTCCACCACTGATGTTGCAGTGTCATCATCACATTGCTTAATGTTAAAGGTTGGCTCCTGAATTGAAGACAGTAATATGAGAACATCTTGTATAAAACCTGTTAAAGTTTTCACTTGCAATTCTTCAAATTGCCAGAGAAAAAAAAAAAGGTTATGCTGTATATAAAAAATGCTGATGATAAATAATGATACATTTAAAAAGTTGTCAGTTAAAAATTTTCTCAAAGTAAAAATTATCAATTACCCAGTGTGATCCACTGATATCATCCAGGAAGCTTTCCAGCACCTTGTTAAGGTTTGGGACTGATGGCCACAAGGACTTCTTGACCTTACTAAAGCAAAGAATTAACCATATATTTTATATCAGATGTATATTTTTTGTCATAGCGCAGCATAAAAAGTAGTGTTCTAAAATAATCAACAGAGAATTAGATTACCGGAAGTATCTGGAGAAGAAAAAGGTCATTGCAGTAGCAATGATGATCAGAGCCACTGGTATACAAACAAGAAAGATCCACTCTGTGATAATAAAAGAAACGGTTTAATGGGTTTTAGAGTTGTGATGTATTTTGTTCATGACTGAGTCAGAAATTTCTACCTTTGTCTAAAGGTAAGAGGACAGTGAGAGGTTTTGACCAGTCACTCCATTCTCCACTGTACACAGATCCATTGGGTTTGGCTCGGACCTGGATGGTGTATTGGCTCCCTCGGTGCAGATCCAGACAAGTGCTGGTCTTTGAACTGAGTGCTGTAAAATCCTACCACAGAACTTAGTTTCAACATGTGTTATGCAGCCAGTTAACAAACCTTCAAATTCAAAGCCATTGAATTGTTCTATCCACTTTAAATATATGAAATTCATACGATTTAAACTCACCTTCCACTCACTGTCTCCTTCACGTTGATAACGGATCTGGTACTTAAGATACTGGGAGATCTTCAAAAAAGGTGGATCCCATGTCAAACAAAGCCTTTCTTTCTCAGGGTTTGCTTTCAGACCACCTGGAGGCCTCGTCTTGACTGTAAAAAACAACAACGAAACCGATCAATTGGCCTTTGACATGATGTCTATAGTAATTAAAGAAGAATTAGTAACTAAAATGAGCTTTTCGAGTGCATTTTTGTAATACTACTCATACGAATAGTATGGTACAATGCTGGTCCTGTATTAGATGCCAAGGAACTCTGATATGGGGGTGACCAAGAGATGATTGCAACACTTTTTGCTATAGTTTCTGCAACTCTGTGGTTTTCATGTCGAGTCATGTGTCTGACACCACTGATATAATTTTCCTCAAACTTGCACTGGACCCCACCCCATTAATGAAAGTACATGAAAACATGAACATCAGCATACATTTCACAAGTTCACACTCACATATAATTAGAGTGGATAAGATTAAATGCGTATTTGGCGTGCTCTCCAGGGGGGAGGGCTCCGAGCTCAGAGTTTGGCTCGAACCCAGAGTACTCCCCTCAATGTAAGTGTTTAGGACTGGAAGTGTGGAGAAGGACGGTGGAGGGATGCTGCTAAACTATCGATGGAGTGAGGTGAAATTGTTGAATCTATATACCTCTTATCAGTGATTGCTGAGTGCACTCCACTCGTGTAAATTAACTGAACGTGCTCCTCCTGAACTTTGTTTATAATAAAACATCGTTCTGTACATGTATGGTTCTTCACTATGGTTTTTAAATGGACTTGGTTCTTTCCCCATTTAAAACAGCAATCAAAATGAAAAATTAGGGAACAAATACATAAAGGACTCCCCTATTAGCATTTATTCACATGGTAATGACTGGTTAACATATTTAATAGTTCACTCAGTATAGGATGTGTTTTAAAAACATGTAGTGGACAACATCTGGTGGCTAACATGACTTTCGGCCATTTCTTTCACACTTACTGCTGCTGTTCATTCTGAAAGTCTCTACATAAAAAGTCCGACCATATGGTTCCAATCCCGCACTGAGGTAAAACTGATAGACACTGGATTCCTGGCCATTTAGGACACACTGGTGGACACCGTTGTTGTCTTTGGAACACAACTTTGAAACATCCCATGAACTTCTGAAACACAAGACAAGAAGAACTACAGTTAATGAATCAAAGTAACTGCTTTTCTTTTGATTTCTGTAAGAGAGGACATTAAAAATCATAGCACCTGTTCATTTTCCTGTAGTGGAAGATGTATTTGCCGTCATCATATAATTCTCCTCTCCATTTGCATAATGCTTGACTCAGATCAGGAGTGTGGCACCTCAATTCTATGTCACCTGAAAATAAGCCAGATACTGAAAGGTGATTGGACGTTTACTGTTATTTTACCTTGTACCTTTCTGTGTTTGTAATTATTAATATAGTTCACCTGAAAATGAACTTTCTGTCATAATTTACTTGCTCTCATGTTCCAAACCTGTATGACCTTTCTTCAGTAACACAAAGGGAGCTATTAAACAGAATGAAAGCCACCGGTCACTTTTTTTTACATTGGAAAAAAAAAAAAAACAATGAAAGTGAAATCCCAAACATTCTGTCTCTTCAAAGAAACAGTCATACAGGTTTTTAAAAAGATGCGAGTGTGCAAATGACGAAATAATGTTCATTTTGGTGAGCTATAGCTTAAAGACTTGAATTAGGAAAAGGAGTTGCTTGTATAAAGCTAAAGAGAATCTTTATTATTGATTTCATTGCCGACAGTGTCAACAAAAAAGTATGGATAATTAAAGTCCCTGTAAAGTCAAAATTAAGTATGTGTTCTGAGTTTGTCACACCACAGAAAAATGTGTAATTAGCCACCCAGCCAAATTTGAATGATAAAAAAAGTCGGAAAGTACATAAAATAAGCTATCAAAATCATGAAAAAATGAGCAGATTCTCTGCTCCCAAAACGCTGGGGGCGTGTCCACTGGCTGTGCTGAAACCACGCCCACTCACGGGAAAGCTGTTGACGGTGATATTAGCTGATTAGCTTTTGGAGACGGGAGGATGAAAGCTGAGGTGGGAGATCGTCGTTTCGGCCCCGTTCACCAGTAACAGCGGATTATCAGTGAATTATCAGTGAATCCAAGTTGTCTCTGAGGAAAGTTTATAAAACGATCCAGTGTAAAATGATCACTACAGAGGCGGGTGTTGGCGGTGATCAGCTCTTCATCAAGGTAAGGTTAGGCTCTCTAAAAACCTCTTCTTGATGTGATCGTTTTAAAGGGAAATTAAATGAAGATACCGATCTGTTTTGTACATGATCAAATCCAGGTAGTAGCCCATGCATGTCCGTGTCGAAGGCATAGCTAGCTAGAAAACTGTAGGATCAGTTGTAGTAACTAATAGTACTGACAGTCATTAGCGATTGAGCGGTGAATGCGAATGTGTTCGGGGAGTGTGTGTGGAGAGAGGGAGATCCAGTGCGTCACGGAGCCCCGTTTTAGCCCCGCCCAATTAATCCGTAAAATTGCGATGGTGAAAAACTGTTTAACGGTCTAACTCCATATTTCAGTACTTCACAGTTCACAGACTTTGTAATATGTTTTAGCAATACGTATGTAACATTTATAATGTGTTTAGAACTTTTTTGTAGAATTGACTTTACAGGGACTTTAAGTTATGCTATAATGCTATAATGTCATTGCATTATAATACGTATAAAAACATTAATTTTAAAACCAAAGTGATTCTCTTGGAGCTAGACACCTTTAATGTTAATTAGCCTATGGCCTTGTTTTATTAATCGTAATCCACTCACTAACGGTTATTAGGAACACCTGTTCAATTTCTCATTAATGCAATTATCTAATCAACCAATCACATGGCAGTTGCTTCAGTGTATTTAGGGGTGTGGTCCTGGTCAAGACAATCTCCTGAACTCCAAACTGAATGTCAGAATGGGAAAGAAAGGTGATTTCAGCAATTTTGAGTGTGGCATGGTTGTTGGTGCCAGATCTGAGTATTTCACAATCTCCCCACTGGGATTTTCACGCTCAACCATTAGGGTTTAACAAAGAATGGTGTGAAAAGGGAAAAACATTCAGTATGCAGCAGTTCTGTGGGCGAAAATGTCTTGTTGATGCTAGAGGTCAGAGGAGAATGGGCCGACTGATTCAAGCTGATAGAGAACAACTTTGCAAAACTTTGATATTCACATGGTAGAGTCAGAATTGGGCATAAACAGAATGAGAACATGGATCCATCATGCCTTGTTACCACTGTGCAGGCTGCTGGTGTTGGTGTAATGGTGTGTGGTAATGTTTTCTTGGCACACTTAAGGCCCCTTAGTGCCAATTGGGCATCGTTTAAATGCCTCGGCCTACCTGAGCAATGTTTCTGACATTGTTTCTGACCATATCCATCCTTTAATGGCCACCATGTACCTATCCTCTGATGGTACCTCCAGCAGCACAAAGCTCGAATCATTTCAAAGTGGTTTCTTGAACATGACAATGAGTTCACTGTACTAAAATGGCCCACACAGTCACCAGATCTCAACCCAATGGGCTATATGCACGCATAAGTCCCGCATGTGACGCAAGAATGCTCGTCCATTTCCGGTTGTGGAGATTAAAGCAGAGGAAAACCGAGGAAAACGGGATTATGGCAGAGTCTTCAAAATTTACTGTCCTCCCGTCGTTGAAACGAAACGTATGCGTTAAGATGTAATTATATAGGTATGTTTATTTAATATAATTTTAAAAAGAAGCATAAACACAACGAGGGGTGTCTGTTTTATCTGTTTTTGTGACTAACATTTCTTTAGTATAACCATGGAGTATAAAATTCAATATAAATTCTCGGTATTGCATTGGACTCTACGATCGGAGGAAGTTATCGAGTATCCTTAAACCTTCACCGGAAATACCGCCGTGCATAGAGCCCATAGATAGAGTATTTTGGGATGTGGTGGAACAGGAGCTTCGTGCCCTGGATGTGCATCCCACAAATCTCCATCAACTGCAAGATGCTATCCTATCAATATGGGCCAACATTTCTCAAGAATGCTTTCAGTAACTTGTTGAATCAATGCCACGTAGAATTAAGGCAGTTCTGAAGGCGAAAGGGTGTCAAACACAGTATTAGTATGGTGTTCCTAATAATCATTTAGACCCCGTTTACACCTGGTATTAAAATGCGATCTGTATCCAGATAAGTTATCCGGATAATGATTCCATTTACACCTGGCCACATAAATGTGTTTTTGCAAAACGGATATAAATCCGATCTTCGCCTCCTGCGTTATATGCAGATTTAATGGATTGCACGCCACCAAAAGCAACAGATCTGAGCGGCATTTTATTGATCATCAGCTAATTTCCAAATCAGAGACATCAATAAGAGAGAGTGGCAACAGGCCTGGTAAGATAATTTCGTTTCTTTACTTGAAGATGTGTTAACTGCGTCTGTGACTTACTTTCACTTTTATTTGCGATGTTTGCACGTTGAATAGACGCTCAGCTGCTCATCTGCGGTGATGCGTGTCGCGTGTCGCATCTGACTAGGCTATAACATGACATATAGCCTATATAACACGCTCTCACTCGTTTATTTTTTAGCATTTTTGGGAGGAGTAAAATATACATATGTGGTTTCAACAACCAGATTGCGTTTACACCTAAAGATCCGGACACAATAGCCGCGTTTCCACTGCCGGGCCAGGGCCGGGCCGTGCTAGTGCGTGCCAGGGCCAGTCGCGTTTCCACTGTCACTTCCGGGGCTTGATCGGGGCTTCCTCAGGGCCAACGGCCAGGATTTCTGGCCCGTCGAATACCTTGGGCCAGAGGGGGCCAGCTCGGGCTAGAGGCGTGTTCAAGGTAAAAGGCGGAGTTTATCGGTGTTAAGGAACGTTATGATCTGAAGCAAGATGCACAGGGGTGTCCGATTAACTGTTTAAAATTGCATAACATTTTAATTTGAACTGCCTATGCCAAATGCTGCGCAACAAAGGCTATATATAGCTACATATCGACGAATTTTCAGATATTTGTTTGATTTTTTTGCCCCTTAAACATTTAAAATATTTGACAAATTAATATGAAAAAATATATATATTTTACTGGTTTTCTGAGGCCAAATTAGAACCTGGAAATGATATTTTCCCCGCAGTGCTGAATGAGAAGAGCCGTAACCACAGCCTACAGAAAGGGGATTTATGGGTGATTTATAGGCTATAATAAATGTGTCTGATAATAAAATAATATAAAATAACGAGGCATTAATTGTTTATTAATAAACTATTGTTTTCTAAATGATTTTCGGCTAAAAACATATCTCCATCTCCGGATGCACATTTAGAGAGAAATTAAGCTACATAAACATAGAAGATATTGGCTTTCGATTCGAATTTGTTCGTTTTAAATTGGACATTTAAAGCTTTAATCTACAAAGGATATAACCCCTGTAGACTAAAGCTTTAAATGTCCAATTTAAAACGAACAAATTCGAATGCGGTGGCTGTTTCAGGTCTCGCGCTTCAGTTCACGGAGATCATGAAGCGCGCCTTGATTAATTGTTAAAGCACAACGTTTTCTTGTTATAAATAAATGTATTTGCGAATAATGTATTATTATTTTCTGTATGACCAGAAATTAAAGAGTATTTTAAGTTGTTTCCACTGAAAGAAATGCAATGAAACTGTTCACATGGGCGTCTCGCAGCCATCAGTGCGTGCTCCACACACACTGGATATGCGCTGCATGATATTTGTCAAAAATATTGTGTTTATTTGTGCTCTGTTCCTTTTTTGGATAAAGACGTCTTCTACATATGCAGCCTAATAAAATGTTACAATAATGATGATGATGGTTATTATCATTATTATTATTATTATTATTTGCAGACACGGAGTTTTTGTGAAATGGACGTTTTGCTTATTTTCAATTGGCAATTTCAGTTTGAAGGGTGATGGAAATATGGGCTTTAACTGCTCCGTACTTGCTGCGTTTTATTTCTATAAATTAATTTCGTTTCAAATGGGGTCCAATCAGTTATTAAAGGTGTTAAAAATTTACTCTGTATCTCGAGGTTGCGGCGCGCACACTATGCACCGAGTATTAACCGATGGGCCTCGGTTAACGATTAATGAATAACTTGAAAACGTGCCCGCAGCCCTTGTTATATCGCGCAAAAAATCGCTGCTTGAAATGGAGAATCGCCTGTACTGGTCTCGGGACACTATTGCAGCCACTACGGCAGTTGAGTTAATATACATGCTATCTTCCTAATTTAAAAAATAAATTAATTCATAATACCCGCTGAAATGGGTTGGGTTTTATGACGTTTGATCCTGAAAGGCGTGTTAGGGGTGGGGTCTGGGGCAGCGCTGTGGGGCTACTGGCCCGGCAGTGGAAACGCAAGCCCGGTGCTTGAGGCCCGAGGCCACTAGCTCGGCCCGGCTCGCTGTTAGCTCTGGCCCAGCCCTAGCCCGGCAGTGGAAACGCGGCTAATGCGAGCCAGACTACCTCCAGATGTGGTCAGGCAGATCCGATCACGATCCGATCACAACGCGTTTACACCTTGCATTAACATGCGTTTTTTATTATCCGGATAACTTATCTGGATACAGATCGCATTTTAATACCAGGTGTAAATCGGTATATGTTGCCCATATAAAAAGCTCTGATTAGTAAAGTAGTCATATATTTTTGTCTTTTAATGTTCTGATTTTGCATATACAGCACTTTGGCCAATCAGGGTTGTTTTAAAGAAAACAACTTTGCTTTTTTTTAAAAAAGAAAAGAAAATTAAATGAAATTAAACAAGTGGATTTTTTATCAGTCCACCTGGAAACAAGCTGCTGGCTACAGTTCATAAAATACACATGCTCTTTTCAGCTCTCACCTGCTGTTTGTGGCACCATTGCTGTTACAGGACTTGACCAATCACTCCAAAACACGTTTGAAGCACTAGGCTTCGCTCTCACTTGCACTGTGCAGTTTTCTCCTGCGATCAGAGAGACTAACTTATGGGGGGGTTTTGACACCTGTGAGGAGTGAATGTAGAAATGAACTGTTTCTAATAGCTATACAGTTATATTTCAAAAAGTGTGTGTGTCAAACTCACCTGTCCAACTGTGTTTGACGTGTGTTTGGAGCTGTAACGAATTTCATACTGTGACCTCAGTGTTTTTTTCCAATTAACTGACAATTGGCCCACCTCCCCAGTTAGATTAAGGGATATATTTGATGGAGGATACAGTAGATCTTGGAGGAAGACATAAGCAGATATATTTATTTGATTTCATATTCGTACTAAATGAAAACTGGAGTAAATTCATAAGAGGTTCTGTAGCACTTACGCTGATTCTCCACATTGACAGTGCGATTGTAGACGGTTATGTTGGTGTCTCTGTCTATCACAATGAGTTGTGTGTCGATATACAAAAAGACACCACTCGATGGGAATGTACAAACATACAGGTCCTTCTCCTCATGAATTTCTTGTTTCACATCACATCTTTTTTCTTTTCTGTTTGACAAACATTTTTGCTTGAAACTGGTCTGCAATCACCAATTAAAGTGGGATGTCCCCCCCCCCCCATCCCATTTTACAGATGATCTACTGATTACTAATTACAAATGATAATATATAATAATAGATATGTAGCCTAATGAAATATTTTATGAATATCTAATATCATATGCAATGTTATATTTTTGAGTTTTATATAGAAGATGAAAGTACTTAGAACTCTTACTGATCAATTATGTAAAGGAAATAATAGGACTTTCCAACAGGTGCTTCCCAAAAACAAGTGAAGTCATCTTGATGCCTGGTGAAACATTTTGGGTTCTTATCCATGGCCAAGATATCAAACTCTAAAAAGAAGAAAACCGTTCCAGTTACAGAACTGATCAAATACATAGTTTCAATGCATGTAGCATTTTACACTTTGCTTTGTAAATACAACCTCAACATTCATGTCTTGAATTACGGATATAATGTACAGGGGCCAATGAGCACATTTGACCAGGATGCCAGGGTTAAACCCCTACTCTTTTTTTTTTCCAAAGGACATCTGGGGATTTTTAATGATCACAGAGAGTCAGGACCTCGGTTTAACATCTCTTCCGAAGGACACTGCTCTTTGACAGTTCCCATCAATACTGGGGTGTTAGGACCCACGTAGACCACATGTTGAGCGAGCGCCCCCTGCTGGCCTCACTCACACCTCTTCCAGCAGCAACTGGTTTTCCCAGGAGGAATCCCATCCAGATACTGACCAGGCTCAACCCTACTTAGCTTCAGGGTGATGTAGCTGCTGGCATATATGTAGGTAACATTTTAAAATAAGGTTCTATTAGTTAACATTACAGGGTTCCTATTTTCATTTTCAAAATTACATACTTTTTCAGACTTAAATTTTCAAACCTCTCTGTAGATTTCCATACCTTATTTAACATAAAGGGTTCATACAGCATTATTTTCAGCTTTATATTTTGTATAAAATACAGTAATCTGTAAATATTGTTCATTTTCTCAGGTTTTTTTTTTCTTTCCATTGTTCTTCTTAAAGTGATAACATACAGAGCCCCTAAAATAAAATAATAAAAGAAATATACAGACCTTTTCATGCCATCAAGATACTGTTGGAATTTTTCGCATGCTTACACATTACAATTTTTAGCTTTATATACAGTATATTATATTATTCCTTTGTGCGTCACTGCCATCTATGAATTGACAGAGATGTATTTGCTCGAAATTTGACTTTCCTAAGGGGAGTTCCAAAATATCAAGTAAAGTATCAAGTCCTAATGTCCAATTTAATTCATCCTTTGTGGGCAGAGAAACCATGACATGAAATAGGCTGATGGCTCAATAATATGGCTGTGTGCATTGAAATATTTACAAAGTCCATAAAAAAAGACAGATTGTCATATTTCAAAACATTAGGTTTGCTTTAATGCATACTCCGTGGCGGCCAAGAAACCAAACAGCAAAATGGACTGATGGCGCAATAGGCTCAAAGCGCATTGTATATGATAAGTTTAATGGTTTCTCGTGCCCACACGAAAGTGTTACAGGCTCTGTTATACAGAGCATTTTGCACCTTGAATTCATTCAGTTGTATTTGAAAATCCCAATAAAGAATCTAAACAGCTGCCATGAAAACTTATTTTCCAAAAAAAAAAAAAATCTTATTCATCATTTAATTATTGAATTATTTATTTTCTTTCATAGAAAACAAAAAGAGGGCAATAGTCTGGAAATGCAAATATTTTTTTCCATACATTTCCATACCTGGAAATTATTCAAATCAAATTCCATATTACAAACTGCGTAAGAACCCTGACTATTATTTAACATGAACTAATAATGAACTGCACTTCAACAGCATTTATTAATCTTTGTTAAAGTTCATTTCATCATTTACTAACACATTATTGAAATCAAATGTTGTATTTGTTAACATTAGTTAATGCACTGTGAACTACCATAGCTGTATTTTTTATTAACTAACTTTAACAAAGATTAATATATACATATATATAAGTGAAAAATACAATATATAAAATATTTATAAGTATAAAAAAAAATCACCTAAAATAAAATCTGACCAACTTTGTCTTACCTTGCTTTGATAGGAGAGACACTAAATGCACCTGTTTGATCAGACAGGAAAGGAAAATCCACCATGTGAGCCCCAGATCCATTGTGTACACAGGGGGTCCACAACTCTTTTCTAAAGGTGTCTAGATATGTTAGTGTTTAGTCCTTAATGTTTAAAGAATAGGGTGGGGAGGTTGGTAGGTGGTCATCTGACAGGGCCCAATGCAATAGGAAGTGGTTGGACTGAGGATTGAGGCAGGCACCCAGACTGACAAAGTGCCTCCTTCACACGCAAATATATACTCAAGCGCTGGAACAACACTTTCAAGATAACTCTGCTATCTTAATGTTTTTATATTAAGTATAAGTTCATTATATTTACATAAATTACTAATGATTTTCCCTTCTTTATATTAAATGAATAATGATAATGATATTTTTTTGGTGGGATTCAGAAGTAAACAAACCTTTGAAAAAATGTATAGGCATGTGTGCCATACTAAAAGTCGATTGACCACTAAAACCGATTAGTTAATTACGTAGATAGATTACTATTAAATGCAATACTTGACTGTGAAGTAAGGAGTGATGTTTTGTGTGTGTGAGTTGAAGGAAACTGAGTTGCCATACCCTGACTGACAGATCTTAAGCCTGTGGCAGAACAGGAGGAAATACTCTTGACAGATCAGCAAGCTGCAGCAGGGAAAGGGGCCTGACCTCAACCCCACTACTTGAAGAGAGTGAAAGAAAAAGTAGTTTCTGTTCCTATCAGTGGAGTGTCTACAGTGTCCAAATGCCTCTGTGATGAGTCCTGTCACCACAATGATGCTTTATTTATCAAATTAAACATTCTCTAACATTCTTTAAATGGTTATAGGATGGCTATAGAATGTTATACATACGTCATACGTAAAAAAACATCATAAAAAGAGCTTAAATCTTTAGTGGCTTTCTATGGTCTGATAAACAACATAAACATTATGTACAGAACTCACTCAAGGTCAACAAATGAGTTACATCGCTTTCTCAAGTGCTACATTGAATAATACTGGTGCTTTTGTCCATTTGATGTATGTCCATTCCAACAACCTCCCAATAAAATGATGGAAAAAGAGTTCAATTCATGGTCCAGATCCCCACAGACCCAGCGTGCTACATCTGTAGCTATATATCGGTTCCACTTCCTCTTGAGCAATCCAAGGCCAACATGTCCTGAGAGATGAATCCTAGAGTCACAGCTCCTTAGAGTGTCCTTTCACAGTCTGTTCTCTATAGTCATGTGGTCTTGGTGGAGTGTCTCTTTGAACGATGGAACCTGGCCACAGGGGAGTGACAGTAACGCAAAGCCCTACTGTGATGTGCCTCCCTTGGGCTGTGCACCCTTCTTGGGTCTGGGGGGGCTGGTAGTCAGGCCTCTTCGGCTGTAGCATCTATTCCAGCATAAGTGAAGTTCTCAAAGAGAGCCATGTTGACATAGGCCTAGATGAAAGAAGAGGTTGGTTAATGGCATATACAACTGGACCTGAATTAGTGCTCATATTTGTGACAATATAAACCGCCGTTTAAAAGTTTTGTGGTCAGAATTTGTTTTTGTTTTTTTAAAACAATGAATACCTATAAGCCTATTTCGCAAGAACGCATTAAATTGGTCAACGGCGATATAAGTTTACAACAGATTTCTATTTCAAATAAATGCTGTTCTTTTGCACTTTCTATTCTTCAAAATATCCAGAAAAAAGAGTCACGGTTTCCAAAAATAAATATCAAGCTGTTTTCTTGAGCACCAAATCAGCATATTAGAATGATTTATGAAGGTTCATGTGAGACTAGCTATGCTTCCATCCATATCTTTGTATTCATATTTGAATATTGTTTTATTTTTTTAATGTGCAACACAAAACTCACATGACTTTGCCTCAACAGTGGATGTGATTGGATAACTGGACTAACCAGTGGATAATTTTCAGTGGACAGCATCTCAAATGTTAGTTTGATCATTTTGAAATGCCTGGGCCAAAATCTGTCATCCCAGAAGTGTCTCACATGATTGTGTTCCCAAACACCAGGCATCCGAATGCAAGATAACATGACAGTGTGGTAACACTTTAGAATACGGTTCCTTCGTTAATGAATAACTACACAAGAACTAATGAGTAACACAATATTAACAATCTAGTAACTATTATTAACTAACAAGAAACTCTGATTAACGAACTAGTAAGTAATAGCGCACAGGCGAAAGTGGTAGTTCACTATTAAGTAATCAATAACTACTATTTTTTTAATACTTCCCAGAGAACTACTGAAAAAGTTTATTAACAATCTAGTAACTACTATTAACTAAAAGAATCTCTTATTAACGAATTAGTAAGTAATAGCTCACAGATGAAAGTGTTACTAGATACTTCTGTGGGAGTTACTAATTATTTGGATTCGTATTATAAAGTGAAGATCATTGGAACTAACAAGTAATTACTCAAGTGTTACTTTTAGACATTTTCTAAAAGTTACTAAAGTTCACCAAAAAAATCTCAAACATTTGCACAAATCATAACTTAATTATGTAGTAACACTTGAGTAATTACTAGTTAGTTCCAATGATCTTCACTTTATAATACGGATCCAAATAATTAGTAATTCCCACAGAAGTATCTAGTAACACTTTCATCTGTGAGCTATTACTAACTAATTATTTGGATCCGTATTATAAAGTGAAGATCATTGGAACTAACTAGTAATTACTCAAGTGTTACTAAAGACATTTTCTAAAAGTTACTAAAGTTCACCAAAAATCTCAAACATTTGCACAAATCATGACTAGATCATGTAGTAACACTTGAGTAATTACTAGTTAGTTCCAATGATCTTCACTTTATAATACGGATCCAAATAATTAGTAACTCCCACAGAAGTATCTAGTAACACTTTCATCTGTGAGCTATTACTTACTAATTCGTTAATAAGAGTTTCTTTTAGTTAATAGTAGTTACTAGATTATTAATAAACTTTTTCAGTAGTTCTCTGGGAAGTATTAAAAAAATAGTAGTTATTGATTACTTAATAGTGAACTACCACTTTCGCCTGTGCGCTATTACTTACTAGTTCATTAATCAGAGTTTCTTGTTAGTTAATAATAGTTACTAGATTGTTAATATTGTGTTACTCATTAGTTCTTGTGTAGTTATTCATTAACGAAGGAACCGTATTCTAAAGTGTTACCGACAGTGTTACAAACGCAAGCATCAGCCTGTTTTTCCTTACCTTCCTAGCCTCTTGCATCCGATTGAGCTGGACAGATATTTGTGAAAATGGTGGTCGCTCATAGGGTCTATCTCGCCAGCACTGCCTCATAAGTTCATACCTGTATGGATAATTGTCATACAGGGGATTATAATTACAATGATTAATGCAACAACAGTTGATCAATATGGAAAGTAGCTACCAGAACACATGAACATCTGTGCTTACACTTCATCATCACAGTTCCTGGGCTGCTCCATTCTGTAGCCCTGAGGAAGCTTCTCATAGAGCTCAGCACAGGTCATCCCACAGTATGGAGTCCCACCTTGAGGAGAACAAATGCATAGCCTTCATCATGCTAAAACATCTTTATAATGCATTGAGGAGGTAGACAATTCATTCAAACTAAATGAGCCAACTTACCTAAACTTACAATTTCCCACAGAAGAACTCCAAAAGACCACCTGGAAGCCCAAGACAGATATTTAAATGAAAGAATAATCAAGATTAAAGAAGAAGCTGCATAATTATTAAAAGGATAGCGGGTGATGTGACCATTTTAAAAGAAATGGTCCTCATGGTGAGAGACTAAATGCAAAGGCTAACACCTATTTAGCCCATTTACATACCAATGATTTATCCTCTTTGTCGTCATAGTTCCCCACTTTAAAAAAAAACGAGTCGTTTGCTGAGCCTGCTGTCAATAAAAGCTTTTATTGGACTAACAAGGATGTTTTCAGTTCTGAAACTTTCTGATATTCTTATGACCTCTTAGATGTCAAAAGCTCAAGGAAAATTTGATTTCTCAGTTCATCACCCCTTTAATGTTAATTTATGTTGGGGTAGAATTAAGTGAACGGAAAAACTCAGTTTTGCGTAACCCAGTTTGGAAGTGTCTGGCCTATGCAATCAATCTCCAGGCTTTATGGGAAATCCATAACAAACCGATCTACAGGATAAAAATGTTTGTATGTCATGTTGTTTTCGAAATGTTCAGTGTGCTATGTTCTCAAGTGGGCAAAAATAGTTCGTTTTGATAGAGGCTCTGTGGTCTTGTGGAGCATGCAACTCTAAATTTGAGCTTCCTGGTTTGTTATCAGTTCCTTCCTTCTTATTTATCAGTTGCCCATTACAAATCGAGAAGGATGAAGGCATGTTAATTTGGATTGAAACTTTGGGATAGCATATCACTTGGTGTTTTAAATATTTAATAGACAAAAAAAATGTTTAAGTAGAAATTAAAGGGTCAGACACTGACATTTAAAAGTCAGATTAAAAGGCATGAGATGTTCATAAGATGTTTATCTCCGCAAAAACCACACAAATTGTTCATTGCACTTACACATCACTCTTTGTAGTGTAGACACTGTAGTTTAGTGACTCGATGGCCATCCATCGCACAGGCAGTCTTCCCTGAGACAAAGAAGGAGCAACTTTTAACCAGTTTCATGAGTCATTTTTGCATTTCAGCCAAATTATTTTATATGTAAGTCCACCAAAACATTATTTAAGAGTGAACCTGATTGATAACATAAAGGATGGATAAACAATGCACTCTAGAGGCTAAGTGAGGAAGGACCAATGAGTTTTATCATCTAATATCATCTCATAGATTTAGTCCTCACCATGGTCTTTTTGACATACACCTCCTCACCACGCGAGAGGCCAAAATCTGCGATTTTTGCTACTAGGCTTTCTCCCACAAGTACATTTCTGGCGGCCAAATCTCTGTGGATGAACTTTACACACAAACAAGATAACCAGACACACAATTAGGACATACTGTATAACAGAAAAAAAAAAGAGATAAAAAAGGCGACATAATCGACATTGGCCACATTAAAATTAAAAGATACAAAAATGTTAAATGATTAAACTGCAACATTACGGGCAATGAATATGACACTTGGACTTGCCCATCCACATATGTCTTCTTAAATATACACCTCTTTTTATACCTGTTTGTCACTAAGGTAATGCATGCCAGTTGCTACATCAGCAGCAAACTGCAACAGCTGCTGGGAGGTGAGTGTTGAGGCAGTTCCATGCTCCTTTGCAAAGGCCGGATCGGTCTCTAGGACACGACTCTTCCTTAGGAAGTCCAAAAGATTCCCATAAGCTGCATATTCAATGGCAATGTAAAGGTAACCTGTGGATGACAGAAACTTTCACATGTCTGCACAACATATGGCATCTGAGCCCAAAAATGCTCTTTGACAAAAGTGATATGAAGCCTTATTAACATTACCATGTCAAAGGCTCCTTAGAATTTCTAAATTCAACTCTGCGAGGCACATTTATATTATCCGACCATAGTTCTATGTAATACTAGTAGGTGGCATACTCACCTCTGTTCTCACAGGCACCAATGAGATTGATTATGTTTTGATGCTGTCCCAATTTACACAGCACTTCTAGTTCACCGGCAAAGTCTCGATGGTCATTCTCTGAGGCGAACTCTGCAGGTGCACAAAACACACAAAATCACAATCATGTAAAAAGAGACCTTAGCTAACAATGCTGATTTGGCTTGTTGTCTTACCCTTGAGCATTTTAATCGCAGCACTCATTTTTACACCGTTTTTTTTTACCATCGCCTTGATGACCTGACCAAAGTTCCCTTCTCCAATGACATCCTCAAACTTAATGTCCTCCCACTCCAATATGGGATAGGTGAGGGGCTCTGGGGAAGGCTTTGGTCGTCGGGTCAGTGTGAGAGTCCCTGAGTTGAACTGTAGGATAGTCTCTTCTCCCTGAAATCGCATGTGGTGACATTTACATTTTTTTTTTTTACTGTTGTGCTTATTATTATACTTATAGTCAAATCCAATTAAGGTCAGTAAATATAACTGTCATGCTCACCAGCTGGAGTGCCCTTGAGAGCCACCAGGGGGCACTCCATCACAGACTAGTATCATTCCCTCACAAACTCACTACCTGCACTCATCATGTGTAATTGCGTTCAGCTGTTTCTCATTAGCTCATTAAATATGCCTATATAAGCCTGGTCTACTGAGGCTGTGTTTAAACTTGGCATTAACATGTGACCTGTGTATGGATGTTGTACACACACACATTGAAAATGAAAAGACAAGGGTAAATGCACTTCTGATTGGAATTTTATCTGATCAGTGTGTCCAGATTCAGAGGTAGTTGAGGACACATTCTGATCGGATATCAGTGTAATGAAAATGCAATCCAGCCATCGTGTCTGCATTCACAGGTGGATGTTATTTAAATCCCCCATCTACTGGCCAGACGCAGTTTAGACAAGAAACTAAACTTATTTGAACCTTACAATAAATGTCAATCTTTAAAACAGTTTATTTAGACTTACATGACCCTATATGTGTCATTTTTCTTAATGAAGAGCTGCTTTGCAGAGGAATAATCAGAATCTGAATTTTTATTGTGTTGAATTTTTTTTGTGTGACTTGTTTAACATGATCAATCCAGTTATTATGGAAGTATTTTTTTCGTTAAAACAACTTGAGATCTAAGACTGGAGCATGCACAGGAAAGTAAAGTGAGTAGTTTTTTGTCTTTACTCTTAATCTGGTGTTGTGCCACAGACCTAATTTAAATATTATGCGGAAAACAGAAATCCCATCGGTTATATACAGAGGCTACTTAACCTGAACAAATATAAACGCGCCAACAAATGTCCTGATTGGCTAATGACCCGATCTGCTTGTTCGGATCACGGTGATCGCATGTTAATGCCAAGTGTAAATGCAGCCTCAGTCATTCATTGCAAAGTCTTGTATTTGTCAACACTGCAATTGACCTATGGCTAAGCCACACCCTCAAACACGATGAGCCAATCACAGTGCGCAGCTAACCCAATACACTCAGACATTCTCTGTTCCCACGTCCATTGAAATGTATAGCAGTTAGTCAGTTTTCATTCGTTTTTTCTTGTCAAACAGTGTGCATGGGGTACATGCAACTTCGACACTTCCGAAAGGCTGGGCAATGGTGTGCTCCGTTTGAGAGGATTCCAGGGAACGCAGTCCTGTAAACTTGGGTTTCGGCCACATTAGTTCCCATGATGAAAATAGAGGAGAGGATGATCATTTGATAAGAAGGCGAGCAACACTATTTATAGGCAAAATTTTCGCGCTAGAACGCTGGTTTTTCAGTGGGAATGCAAATTAGATTTGCATTTAACCATGAGCACAAAACAACACAAATGGCTTTTAATTGGTTTATTTCGTTAGCAAACATGTCCCTATAATTATTAAGTTCTTTCCATCGAACAGTTTCTTACTTTCACATTTAAAGGACTCCTTGAGGTTAACTTATACCCTACTTAGTCAGTCTGCAAAAATAACGATCGGCATGCTTGTTTGCGGCTCCTTTAAATAAAGCTTTAAATAAGACCAAGCATTCGATCTACGTCAGAGGGTCCAAGAATATTTCCACGGCGTCGTTGACAGGGCGGCAGTGTGAACACACAGTATGTCAACACAGATTTCAACATCTATAGGTTGTAAAAATTATTTTGCTGCCATTGTACACACAAAACAAAAATCAGTAGTTAAAGTATATAATAATAAAATAAAGTATAAAATAATAAATTGTCCACTCACCGATCCAGACTGATAGGTGAATGTCCGTCTCCGTTTAAGGACAGATTTCCGAATGCAGAAGAGAGCCAGGAGGGCCAGGAGAATGGTCGCACAGGTTACACCCACTGACCCAACCACAGCCCAAAGAAGCTGATGATCCTCAGTCATTGGCCGCCCAACATGTTGAGTGGTGGGAATAAAGTTGGAGAATCCAACTTTGAAATGAGAGAGAACATTTTAGGAGAGGATTTACAGTAGCGGTTCACAAAATTCACTGTTCAGTTCGATACGATACAGTGGTGTTTTCGATATAGCAAAATGAAAGAAATGCCAGAGAAATTTCTTTGATTTTTAATTTATTAAAACTAAAACATAAAGTGATTTTATTTTTTAATTTTTTTTTATTAAAACTAACATCATAAAGTATGATCTTTTTTAATTTTGAACAATGATGGAGCTATACTTGTCTCTTCTAAGCAGCATCTAAAACAAAAACAGCTCCTTATATAAAAAAAATGCAATATTGTAATAATAATTATTTCCGGTTTATTTTAAGTTAGCAAGTCTCCAGATTAACATTTGAGGGGAGCAATTTTATTCATAATGTCGAAATAATAACAGGAGAAGTTTGAATGCAAGCTCACTAGATCTCGCAGCTATGCTATTAATTTGGTGGCGTATGCTTTCAGAAAGAAATGCTTTCTTTACTGGACCTCTTGGCGCTGTGTAGTGACAGTGTCGCTTGTTCAAGATTGGCTCGCGTTGAACTCACAGCGGTCCGTTAAGCACAAATTGCATGTTGCGCAAGTTTCATTCCGCTTTCATCATGTTTGACATTTGATGTTGGTCAAAGTTGTGGTGGTCACGCCAGCACGAATGCTAACAAAATTTGGGTCGGCAGGAAAAATGGTCCAACGAACCATTCAATGAATTGAAATGCGTTCCGAACCGAAAGCCTCTTACCGAGCGGTTCTCTGACTACGTGTACGTGTATCGTTACACCCCTACTTTCTACCATTCATTTTTTTCTGGTCTCTTACCGTCTTCACGTGTCCTGGCCTGTACGAACTTGCTCCACTCCCCTGGCGCCTTGGAGAAAGCCCTCACCCTAAACTGGTACAACGTGCTCCCATTGAGGGAGGTCACAACTTTCGTGGTTTTGTTCCCATCGTCTGTGTCCACCCAAGGGTGCAAGCTGCCCTGGCCCACTGGCTGGTACTCAATGCTGTATTTCACAATGCCTCCATTGGGGTCCTCGGGAGGCTGCCAGCGAACCCTAACTGCATTGATGGACAGGGCATCTGCATGAACGTTCCGAGGGGAAGAAGGACCTGGAAAGAGATCATACACAATTTTCCCTGTTCAATTTCATTTCACACTATGACACACTTATAAGTTTGTTCCTTTCTACCACACCCTGTCTAGTGTCTAACATTAATGTCCTATTCTATAGTCAGCCGCCTACTTGCGCCTACTTGGGGTCATGCAAGATTTCTGTTACCCTGCTTATAGATGTGAATATGGTGTGGCTTTGAAGGGGGCCCATGGCTGCCGCAGTTTACCAGCCGGACGACCACTTGGTAGTCCCTGTGGTACTCCAGGTTGTAGAGCTTGATGGAAAGAACATTAAACAAGGTGGTTTCCTCCCACAGCTTCTCTCCGTGTGGTCCGTAGAGCTCCACTAAAAAGCCAGTGGCCTTGGGGTGCCTGCCAATCAGGGACCACCTGATGGTGGCATTACGGCCCTCCAATGAGTTGGAATCAATCTCCGGCCTGGCCGTGGGCTCTAGCGACACAGAATACGCAATCAGAAGCTGTGTGCCGCAGCTGAGCTACGTAAAAACTGAACTGCTCTCAAAGTCAGTGCTTGAGTCAAAATTGACTGATAATCAACAATCAAGATATTGTTTATCTAAAGACGTGTTTCCAGTCCGTTTCTCCAGATTTTGTCGAAATCATCCAACACGCCATCTTCTCCCCAAAGAATCCCACTGTTCTTCTCATTATAAGGTAAGACGGGGGAAGATGTTCCTACCTTATTTATTATCTTGACCATAGATGTCATTTAATCTCATCTGAACACATTTATTTAATGTTTAGACACTTAATATTTTCATCAGAACATAAATTTATTCTTTCTGAACAGATATGATTTGAAATTATCTAATTGTTTTCATGAAATAATGATCAAGGACTTTATTTTATGTTAGATATTAGATGGCCGTTTATTAATGGGTGATTTGTGGACGCCAAAAAAAATAATTTGATAAATTTGTAATAACTTTTCACTTAAAAAAAACAAGCCCAATATTTGTTCAATTAGACTCTGTATTGTTATCGATAACTAAAGCCATTGAAAATTATTTTTGGAAATTAAAATAAAAGCTGAATAGAATAAAATAAATTATAAACATTGGATAAGAAAAGTTGTCTTGGCATCTAACTGAAATATGTTTTAAGTTGTACGAAAACTACAGTAAAACTGAAATAAAAATGTATTAAAGCTATATAGAAATAATAAAAAAACGAATAAAAAGGACAAAAACACAATTACAAATATTTTAACTAAAAATTAAAGCTGATTACTAAAATTGTAACTAAAAATGCAAGATGATTCAAAATATTAATAAATACTATGATAGTATATAAATTGATAATAACATCATTACCTCTGGGGTAAGATGTCACCCTAAGAAGTGGCATTTTGTTGCTGATGTTTTTATTATTTCATTTAATAATTATTATAATTACAATCATTCCATTTATATTTATCATGTATTTTATATACATCAAATGTTTTTTATATGTATAGTTGGGACAAGTTTACTGGAGGCTTTTGTGGTGTGCCACAGGTAGGGGGTCATGTACATTGTCATCCTTTACATTCTAAACTGAAACTCATCAGTAAATATGTTATTAAGGGGGGGCATTTACCCCATCTTTCCCTACAGCCAAGTCATTTTTAGTTCTAGTTTGACTGATTCTCACCTGGACAGTCAGTCTCCATGATTGCCGCTGGACCCAAAGGACCCTCTCCTCCGTTTCCTGGACGAGTGAGTTGTACACGGACATGGTATCTGGTTGAGGGCTTCAGGTTCGGTAATGTGATTTGATCGTTGCCATACACTTAGTTAAAAAAAAAAAGATCATACTGTATGTCAAAGACTGGTATAGTATATTAACATGATTCTATATGAGAATTAACCTCATGGGAATTCCTAAAAACAGAAGTAATTTACAATTCCTCACCTATGATGGAGGACCAGGAGTCTTCTGCATCCACTGGTTTGTAAAGCAGTTTAGTGGAAATAATGGGACCGTCACCCATGTAAGTGTCCACTGGCTTTACAACCAGTTGTTTGCTACTTCTCGACAGCAGTTTAGGAGCTGTGGTTGGGTAGGGTGGCTCTAGTTCACAACAAAGTGAAATTTAAGCGTCTTCAGCTAGAAAGAACATCACTAGAAGAAACCGATTTCTAAAATGATTAGAATTTATTAGGATTAATAAAAAGGTAAAATGAATCTCACCTTTAACAGTTAAGGAAAACTTAAAAGAATCCTGCCCACCATTGGTGGAGACTCGACATTCCCACAAACCATTATGCTCTATAGACAGCCGTGGGATCTCAAAGTGAGCTGTACTTTTTATGGAGTCCATGTTAGTGTGGGACGCCTGAGGAATTAGTAAAAACAGTAAACAATCAAAAAGATTAGAAAGATAGACACGGAAATACTTTCTAAATTTTCACTTTACAAACATTCTTTCTTTAAACATCTAATGCAAATTTTTATTACCCGTCAGGCAAAACTTTACTTAAAGCCTTTATATATAATGCATTATATAAGTATTGTAAAGTATGAATTTTGCCTTGTAATATTATAATACTGTACTTATGTAACAACTTTAGAACATATAGAGCATTAAAACACATGACAAACAACCAATTTCAGAATTTACAAATATTGGTTTGTATTATTATATGTATATAATATTATTATTTTTAACATTGGTTGCAATTATTTATTAAAAATATATAATGCGTAATGCACATTAGGAATTCCTCTTAATGCATTACACATAAAGGCTTTAAAGTAATAGTACACCCAAAAATTTAAATTTTACTCACCCTCAGGTTGTTCCAATCCTGTATGGGTTTCTTTCTTCTGTTGAACACAAAGGAAGATATTATGAAGAATGTTGGGAACCAGACAGTTGATGGACCCATTGACTTCCATTCTATTTTTTGTCCTAATATACAAGCCAATGTTGGCCGTCAACTGTCTGGTGGTTACCAATATTCTTTAAAACATCTTCTTTTGTGTTTAACTGAAGAAAGAAACTCATACAGGATTGTAGCAGCTTGAGGGTGAGTAAGTAAAGACAAGATGTTCATTTTCAGGTGAACTATCCCTTTAAGTAAAGAGTTAACAAACTTCCTATAATTATGACTCTTTCACCTTAAGAACGGTGCTTTCCAGCTTGCGTAGCTCGATACTCATATGGCTAGGCAGCGGATGGCCTGTTGCAGAGCATGTGATCTTGTGGCTGGAGTTCAAATTTCCCTCCAGGTAACTGGCCATATCCAAAATCTCTGGAACACTATCTGAAAGAGGGATAAAGTTAGACAAACGGCGCCAAGAGGAACAAACTCTATAGATTTTGGAGTAGATGGACAAGTAGTCTTGAAAACTTACCTGATTTCTCACAATATTGCCCTCTCCAGCCTATGGGACATTGGCAGCCAATGAATCGATTGCATTTGCCTTTGTTCTGGCAGTTGCAACTTAAAAGACAGTCAGCGCCATACATTCCTTCAAGACAGGCTATGAAAATAAGAGCATTGACAACTCTGTTTTTATAGCTTACACCCATAAACATGAAAACAGGCATTTTGTAAGAATTCAATAAGACATGTTTTAATGCCTGAGCTCTGACCTCAAAAAATTAAGGGTACTGTAAATGTTTCTGTAAATAACAGTATGGAAGCCAGATTTTTATGCTATTTGAGACTCACAACTGAAACATTATTTCTCACAATTGTGACTTTTATCTTAAAATTGCAGCATTTGTGACTTTACCTCACATTATTTCAATTTATATTATGTCATTGTAACCTCTCCTATTTGCACCTTTATTTTCACAGTTGAAGATTTATTTATTCTAAATTGAAATACTTTCTTTTCTCATCTTTTACAATGTGAATATCTAGTTTTGAATTAGAGTAAATCTGATATAATGTTCTATTGTAACTATTTCTCATAACTGTGACTTTGTTTCCTGTAATTGCTATTTTATTATATATTTCACAGTGTGACTTTATATCTTACAGTGTGACTTTATTATTTTAAACTTGATTGATCTCACTCACTTTTTTACTCTGAGGTGGAATCTGGTTTCAACAAAGACTAGAACAAATGCACAGACCAGTAAGAAATATTTATCTTGGTCAGTTTGATGGAAGGTGAATTTTTACTGGCAGACTCCAGCAGCACCTGTTTAAACTTTAATGCACAACTGAATCCTTTCTGCAAAGTCTAGATGACACATGGAGGGAACAGTTATTATATAAAGCGATTTCATGTTAAACTCACGTTTACGACAGCGGTCTCCGTGCCAGCCGCTGGCACAAGAACAGCCGTAAGGATCAGTGAGACAGAAACTCAATCCCTGGCATCCATTCCCATGCCCGACTGGGGATATACAGGATTCCTGGCAGTTCCGACCAAACATTCCTTCTCGACAGGCTACAAGCCCAAAATTACAAAAATGGATTTGCATGTTTAAGTTCTTAAATAGACAGTCTCTGATTAGTTTCATAGAAATAGTTTTCATTTACCTGTCTCACAGCGCATTCCCATAAACCCTGGAGGGCAAACACAATCTCCATCTTTGTCATGGCACACGCCTCCATTCAAGCACTCGGGACAGTCCTTGTCACAGTCGGAGCCCCATTTGTTCTTTGGGCATTCTGTAAAATACATAGGTAAGAAAATAAAGCAATAAAATATAAAATCCAAAGACTTATGATATGATACTGATTAGGATACCACGAACGATGAGGCGCATCCAAGCACTATAAAGAGCACTGTCCCCAACATAGCCGGCACTGTAAATCCCTGCGTTGCTTTCATCAACTTTCTCCAGATCCAGAACTGCTGTGCGGTTCTGAACATCAGCAACAGGAGTCATGTAATAGTAGTTACCTAAAATAAATCAGAATATACTTGCAAGTAAATTTCTTATCCATTTACTGATATTTATATTTACATTTATTCATTTAGCTGACACTTTTTATCCAAGGCGACTTACAATTGCTATATATATATATCAGAGGTCGCACGCCTCTGGAGCAACTAGGGGTTAAGTGTCTTGCTCAGGGACACATTGGTGTCTTACAGTGGATTCGAACCCAGGTCTCTCACACCAAAGGCATGTGTCTCATCCACTGCGCCATCACCACCCCCACCACTCAGTTGTGATATAATATATATAATGTATATATATATGTGTGTTTGTATGTATAACATTTAAACATATTCTCATCAACTGCTGTACCAATAAGCTTTAAATGTTGCATGCATGCTCTTTGGAAATGTATAAAACCTTGTAAAATCGTAAAGAATAAAATAAAAGCTATACTGACCATTGAATCTCCAAGCAATGTCTCGTCTTTCTGCTTGAATGACATCCATGATTAAAAGCACTGTGTCTCCTTTACTGGCTGTCAGAGTGACCCTCGCAGGTCTAAAGTGACCTAATAAGACATAATAATAAAAATAGTAGTACTCTGGCGCGAGATCCCATTTTTAAAATCTTTTCTTCATTCTGATTATTTTTGCCAAACTGTTTAGGTTTTAAAGGGATAGTTCATTCAAAAATGTCATTAACCCACTTTTTAATAACAACGTTCCAGAGGAGTACGTTCAGATAATCAACCAGTACTCTAGGCTCGGGCCAAATTCTCAGAGAGCTCAGAGCTCTCCCCTCGGACAGCATGCCAAATACGCATAACCTTTACTGATAATCTGATTTTATGTATGTGTGAACTCCTGATAAACATTTACTTTACCTTAACTTACATTACAACATTACATTTACTCACCCTTGTGTAGTTCCAGACCTGTATGATTTACTATCTTCTGCAGAAAATAAACCAGATATTTTTAAAAATGTCATACAGTCAGTCAGTGGGGTTCAGTGTTGTTTTGGACCCCGTTGACTCTCATTGTACGGAAAAACATTGTGTTCTTTTGTGTATTCTTTTGACATACTTTTTAGTTTTTGGGTGAACTATCCCTTTAAGTTAAAGATTTTTTCTCTGGTATAGTCATACCTTTGCTGTAGTTGTTGATAAGTGTAACATTGGCAGGTTGGTCAGAGCCCCTTTTTGATTGACAGCTGAAAATCCCACTGTGGTCAAAGCCTGTAAATCCAGTAGCCACCACTTCTTTAGTATGTGGCCTCTGCACAATAAATTTAGGAGTATCTGCACGAAGGACAATGCTGTTGTCCTTTTTGATGCTCAGTTGAATGCCGTCTGTGTCACGCTCTCCAGAGACGCAGGATAGCCGAAAATTGTGAGCAGGTGTGGCCCCGTTAGATGTCATGGTGAGATCCATAACTGAATCTGGTAGAGGACACATTTCATACAGATGAATGCAATTTAATATAATTGGAAAATACTTGGTAGAGAGATAAAATGAACATCATTAGAAAGTTAATATTCTCAAGTATGAAAATTATACTTATTCAGTACAGTTTCTAATTAGGATAACAAAATAACAGCAAAAATGAAGCTAGTATATAGTGGAACTTCCACATTCCTGCTTAGACACATTTCCCCGCTAGCTTTCTGCCCCTCTGTGCCCTTCTCAACACAAGAACAATATCAGGAAACAAAGAAGATCCGAAGCTACCATTCCACCACGATGTACAGACACTATTTACTCCAGTGAATATTTCTCAGGGCAGGTTTATTTTTGAAAGGCAATTTATAGGCATATGCCTTAAAAAATAATTTCTGTTATTGGCAAAGAATTGACCTGCTGAATTTCTACAACTTAAGATTAAACAACGTATTAAATGCTTTTAAGTAATTAAAACAGTAAACCAAAAATGAGCCACAAAATGAAGCATGGTCTACACAGGTAGGCTACAATACAATAATAATATAATAATAATAATTATATTATTATTATTATTATTAAATAATAATATTGACATACATGTATACAATTTCAAATGTGACATCAATAAAACTGACTTGCCCTGATTTCTAAGTAAAAAATACCTTCGGCCTATAGCTGCCTTTCTAAAATAGTTAAAACTTTCAGTTAAAGCTAATTCATTATACACTAGTTGGCCCATATGTCAGTGTAGTTTTAGTGTGTGTTGTATTGTGTTTTGTGAGCATAGAATTGCCACAAAAAAAACATCAACAACAACAACAAAAAAATATTTGTTTGTTTTATAGTGTTTTGTCAGGGTAGAATTGAACAAAATGATTCTAATATAGGCCATAAAGATGTTCTAATCTAAATATTTGAAACCAAAACCACTGCTAATAAAAACAACCATAAATGCACATTACAATAACTCACATGAACAGATTATTATAAATAACTACTACTTATATTGCTTACTTATACTTATATAAGTAAGCAATATATAAAACTTATATAGGGCCTAACTTATATTGCTTATATTACTATACCAAGTGAGTGAACTTCAATAAATATAATGTATGGCATTTTCCACCATTTTATTATCAAACTAATCACCAAGATTCCCAATAATGACCAAATTACTAAAGATACAAGTAGGCCTATAACTGTTAACTTGGATTTAGTGGCCATTAAGAAAAAGCTCTGATATTAAATTATATGGTTTTACAAAAAGTGGTCTGCAGTAGGCCTGTGTGGTGTTTTAAATGGAAACTATTTTATTATAGTTATTTTGTAAGGATTAGAAGCACACGGGTATCTTATGTAATTTTAAGTGAACCAAAAGAGCAACGGCATTTTTTTGGCAAAGAGCTTGATACAGTCGCAACTCACCAGAGATGTCGACGAGGCACAGGAGGCAGATTAAATGCAGCATGACTAGTGTCTTGTGTTCTCTCTCAGATAATCCGTTAAAAAATTATCAAAAATACAGGATCTGTCATTCCAATGGGATCTTCCAGCTCGACAGGGTTATCCATGCGTTATTGCGCATTTCTACGAATCGATCACTGTGAATGTACGTGTGCAATGATTTACTCTACGCGTGGAAATCTGTGCTGTTCACATACTGAAAACTTCACTCTTCTGCCTTCTCCTCAGTCATACTAGTTTGGGTGGGAAAGGAAGGAAGAGGCGTTGAGAGAGAGAGAGAGAGAGAGAGAGAGAGAGAGAGAGAGAGAGAGAGAGAGAGAGAGAGAGAGAGAGAGAGAGAGAGAGAGAGAGAGAGAGAGAGAGAGAGAGAGAGAGAGAGAGAGAGAGAGAGAGAGAGAGAGAGAGAGATTGTCAGGGTACTGTAAGCAGGTTCTTTAAGCATTTTTCACAGAATTTCACTTATACAAAATTCAATGTGTCCGTTGATCTAGTCATACATCATGATGACCAGGGTTGTTCTTCAATTATACCCCTGGAAAACATTTACATAGGTTCTTATGTTATTAAGCATAAAAATACCATTCAAAGACCCATTCAACTGAAAAGTAAAATGACAGAAAAAGTCAACAAAAATGTCCTGTAAACAAATTGACAATGAATAACTAAATGCAAAATTGTTAAGACAACATAAAAAATGAAAATTGAAAATGCATATGAAACACGAGAAGCACCATCATTTTACTTTATAGCATTGTATCATTTTTATATTTATCTATTACTTGTTTATAGTATCATAAATTTAAAGTGCATTTATTGTTGTTGTTGTCACAATTACCCACATGGTTACCATGGCACAGTGTCAATAGTTTTAAATGCACATAGATACCTTTTTTATACAAAAAGGAAAGTGCACCCAAAGTACCATCACATCTCAGAGATTAAATGTGGACTGATTTTGAGGAGTCAGGTAATCTCACTTAAAGTGACAAATTAAAGGAGTAGTTCACTTTTAAAAAAAACTTTTGCTGATAATTTACTCACCCCCATGTCATCCAAGATATCCATGTCATTCTTTCTTCAGTCGAAAAGAAATTAAGGTTTTTGATGAAAAACATTCCAGGATCTTTCTACATAAAATTGACTTCAATGGGAACCAAATGGTTCAAGGTCCAAAAGACAGTTTCAGTGCAAACTGCAAACTGTTCAAAGGGCTTTAAAGAGGCTATATGCAGCCTTTCTCCCAAAATAAACGTAACAATACCCTTTTTATTTGAACATCTCCTGAGGAGCATACTGACACCTTGTCCCCTCACAGTGGGTGCACCTATAAGCCTGTATCCTATTTTTCTGTCGGGTCGGACTTTTCCCGCGCTGTCTGCTTATGTGACGTCAAGCGCGTTCATGTTAAACGTTTCAGATCACTCTGCCACCACCGCTAGTCAGCCTACACTCGCAAGCAGAACACTTTATCTCAAACAATGTTCTTACCTCTGTAAACATAATGTTGACCTCCTTGCAGCAGATAACTAGTGAAGTGTGCACGTAAAACCGCGCGTTGCGAGAGCGAGCAGAAAGGAAGAGCAGTTCTGTTTTTTGGCCACAGGTGTTAGTCGCGAGTTTAAATTTCAGGAAACGCATGTAGCCTCTTTAAATGATTTCAGATGATGAATAAGGGTCTTATCAAGCAAAACGATCGCTCATTTAAAATCCTCTGTTCTGTGATGCGCGTTCGTGACTCTCCTGTTTGAACTCGTTCATCAAAATGAACGAAACTTTTTTGTGTCATTTGGTTCATTCAAAGAACTAAATGAACGAGTTGACTCTGGAAAAGATTCGTTCATTTTGATAAACTCCTTTAATCTTATAAACAGAGATTACACACCTCAGTGCACTACACTTCCCAGCATCCCTCATGTTTCCCACCTGCACATATCAGCCATCACCTGATCACCTACCTGCACGTCATCAATTACCATGGGCACTAATGATCATCACAGCTGTCTGTCATTGTCTTGTTATCATCTGTGTATTTAGTTCCTGCTTGTCTTCAGTTCATTGTCTGGTATTGTTTGTGTGTTGCATGCTGTCTCGCCTGTTGGTAGTGTTGTGAGTTACTTATTTAACAAACTTGTTACTTTTCAATGATCCCCGTCTTCATTGAATCTAATCGTGTCATACTCATGGTCATATTTTCCTACTGAGTGATTAAGCTCCATGCTGCTGAAGGCATCTTCTAACTACTCACGTTAGTCATAGCCAGGAAACGAGAAACAATCCCTGACTGTGTGTTTTGTCTAAATGTTCAGTCATTACAAGTTTAATTGCAGAGAAAATGCCCACCGTCGCACGTCTACATGCCCATTTACACCGTCTTTGCACACTTCACTAATTTGTGGATGGATGTTTTTTTAAATGAGCGCATATGTTTTCTGTCTGTTTCTTGATAACATCGCACAATTGAAGCTGACATGGATTGACATTGTTCTGACTTTCCTGTTTTCTACTCCAAGAGCAAGGGAAAGATAAAAAAAAAAAATCATTTATTTTTCTGCACACAGATAATAAAACAGAGTTTATTTGATTTTTTTGTGCTGATTTAGACCAGCCATATCTAATGTGTTACTGTTTTTAGAAGTGCTGTCTGAGGCGGAGGTCTTCTTGCTTTTGTATGCACTGTCACCTTTGCTACACATTATCAGCCACAAATAGCAGGTCACACTCACATCCTGCCCATTTGCTCACCGAAGCGAAACACCTCTACATTGTTCAACAAATTTTATAATCATCGTTTAAAATGGAAAAATTCAATGTAGATTTCTATGCCACTTACATGCACAGAACGCTTTTTAGTATCAGTATTCATGTTAATAGTAGCAAGAACTATATATATATAAGAGCAATAATATGATTTCCATTGTTGCTTTTGTAGTTTCATTGTATCCTAGTGTTGTGTCTTGGCTAGAATGTGTGTGCTTTTGTATTGGGGCGTATGTGTGTTTGTTTATACATACTGGCTGATAAAGCGCTGGAAGTGTTTGGATGAGGAAGCCGCACGGGAAAGTAGTGGACACTGTGTCAACATTTTCTGTAGCTGTGTGGTGCCAGGGTGGAGAGAAACAAGGTACTTAGAGGCGCTAGATTTAACCTCCACACTCCCCCCAGACTGCCGCCTATTGTCCCAGCCACCTTTTGTACTCCAGTAGTAATTGCTTTATACCTTCTCTTTCTTATAAAGTGATGATGAATGTTGATTATTTTCTCTTGTCGGCAGACAAAGACTCAAAGCATTTGTCCTGCCTTGTTTTCCACCCTGAGGTCAAGAGACAATGCACACACCGGTGGCCAGTACACATGTAAAGGAATCAAAAGTCTTTATGTAACTTCAGTGCTCAGAAGTTTTTCCTGAGCAAAACTCTCCACCACAACACTATAGTGGTTGCTAGAATGTACTGGGATGTTACTAGAACTCTGCTAGGGTGTTCTGTGTGGTTTCTTATTATACCAAGTCAAAATACAACCAAGTAAGAGCAAAAACAGTGACACTTTAGTAAAAACCTCTGATAATCGGTAACTTCATAAAAGTCTATAATTTATTTTAAAGTGATAGTCCACCCAAAAATGAACATTCTGCATTTATTTACTCAGCCTCATGGCATTTCAAACCTTTCTTCTGCAGAACTTAAATTAAGTTGTTTTGCTAACCAAACAGTTTCAGTTGCCATTGATTTCCATATGGACAAAAAATACAAAGGAAGTCAATGGGAACGGGCATTCTTCAAAATTTCTTCCACAGAAAAAAGAAAGTCATACAGTTTTTTGGAATAACATGTATAATGGCTTTTATTTTTGGGTGGACTATCCCTTTAAGCAAGTTCAGTAGTGGGAATCTCACACATAAGAATAACTAGCCTGAATCGTAAGTGTTATTGAGTAGGGAGGGGACAGCTGTGAGTGTTATTAGATGCATTGTGGCTATGTGAGAAAGTTTGTATTAAATTCCCATTTCCACCCATTGTGAACAGAGCTGGCAGGACTCCACACGCACTGCATTGAATGTGGAAGTGTGAGAGTGTGAGCTGGCGATACAGGAGCCGGTCTCATGGGCATCTAGCCCTCTTGAGGAAGCTCAGCATGGGACCTTTACTGCTATAGGTGCTCCATTATACCCTTAGGTCAGTGTCGGAAGTCCTCTTGTTATAGCGGGGGTGAAAATGACAGAATCAAGCATTAAGCCTCTCTCTGAAAATTCCCACACATCTTGAAGTGATGTCTGGTTAAATGCTCGTGCAAATTCACCACAGGCCTGATGGCACAATCATGTAAAAAATTCCATCTGGCATGGATGAGTTAACCATTCAAATGTGAAATAATAAACACAGTGGTTTGAGGGAAAGAAGATGTCTTTGTGTTTTAACCTGGAGATAAGAGGATCTTTAACATATAGGGTCAAGGATAGGAAAACTGGAATAGGAGGATGTGGAGTGTGTACGTACAAGAGAAAGAGAGAGAGAGTAAAAAACAAAGGAAAGGGAAAAGAGGTGAGAGGGCACATCCGCTCCTCAGCTTTTGTCTCAAGAGTGTGTGTGTGCAGAGACATCTTCACCCTGCACTGTCTCAATTCATATTTCCTTTCACTCTAACAGAAACAACGTTCTTGTAAATCTCCCTATGGATTGAGCATCCATATCAAGCATTCTCTAACTCTACTTTTCAATACTTTTCTTGTCTGAAAACTTGGATTGGCTAAGAGATAGTTAATCAAATGTTTGTTAAACTCATATTCATTGAGAGACTGGATGAAATAATTGTAATTAAGTACTGTTTACATAAACAAAAAATATATAGTTAATTCAGAATGATTGGTAAATAAATAAATGAATGATTAGCAGTAACAGCACTTATAAATCCCTTTTATAAATTTAACATAAAATTAAGGTTATTTATAAATACATACACATACACTACCGTTCAGGCTTCTATAATACTTCTATAATACTTACATTTAGCAAAGATTACATTAACCAAAAGAGACTTTTTATTTTCGGTAACACTACAATACGAGTGCACATTAATTCATGCTTAACTAATGCACAGATAACCATGAGTTAATGTATAACTAATGAAGAACTAAACCATTAATTAATGATTACTGCATCAGCAACTAATAAAGAGTCTATATGATTAATAGATTAAGTAATACATGAATTGCTATCAATTCAATGTGAT